ACAAACGTAGAGACTAGGACACATTTTCCAACATCGTTAAAAAGCAACGGCAGCAGGCAAGAAATACAACCGATCTGAATTAAGCTCCGATCAAATCTTGGGCAAGTTGCTGTGTCTTAGCAACAAAAAGTATTCGAAGAAGGATAGAGGTTGGTTGCCAGCATGGCGCAGTAACACCTTTGAGGGCTTCCTCTGGTGTCTACTAGCCCTCTGAACTCACCCACCCAAGTAGCTGCCCTGTTTATCATAAAATGGTGAGAGAGGTTGTCTCCCCACCTACCATACTTTCAGATGTAGAAGGTGTTGAAGGAGGAAACCAGATTTGTGGTGGTATGTTTTGATTGGGCAACGCTGACAGCAACAATAGCAGGTGGGAAACTCTCCAAGCATGTGACGTTTTGAAACCTAGGTGACTGAACCAACTCTCAGTCTAACCTACCTCACAGGGCTGTTGTAAAGATAGAACTTAGTAGGACATAAGATTTCTGAAAACAACAAAGAGTGCTTTGCCACTTCAAAGGCTTACAGATTTGTTAGCCTATATCAGGGGTCAGCAAACATTTTCAGCAGGGGGCCAGTCCACTGTCCCTCAGGCCTTGTGGGGGGCCGGACTATACTGGGGGGGAATGTACGAATTCCTATGCCCCACAAATAACCCAGAGGTGCATTTTAAATAAAAGCACACATTCTACTCATGTAAAAACACGCTGATTCCTGGACAGTCCGCAGGCCGGATTTAGAAGGCGATTGAGCCGGATCCTGCCCCCGAGCCTTAATTTGCCAACCCATGGCCTATATGAACCTTCTTAGACCATTAGATCTTAATGAAGGCATTCTCTGGATTCCTGCTTTGAAGGATGCTTGGAGAATAATGGCAAAGAACCCACTCACAGAATCACAGAGTTAGAAAGGACCACACAGGTCATCTAGTCCAACCCCCTGCAATGCAGAAATATTTTGCCCAACATGATGCTCGAGCCCATGCCCCTGAGATGAAGAGTTTCGGGCTCTGGTGACTGAACTGTTCCAGGGTGTGGCCTTTGCAATTGTGGCTCCCCATTTGTGGATCGAGGGAGCTTCACCTGGGGCCTTTGGTGATGTCTTTTGAGTGGCAGGTTAAAAAAAAAATGCTTTTCCCCCTCCCCGCTCCAAGCTTTTGATTGACTACAACAATGATGTTGTGCTGGGAGCAGGGAGTGGGTGGCACTGTGGTCTAAACCACTGAGCCTCTTGGCAGTGGCGGAGCTTCAGTGGCGGAGAGCAGGTTGGGGCGAGGCTGGCGTGCTTCCCGGGGGTGTGGCGCGCCACCCGCTGTGGATATTTCACCCCTCCCATGGCAAGAATCTACTGACAATCTTTCCAGAAAGGAGGGGGCGGAATCTGCTCATCGCTTCTTCCGCTCCAGCTTGACTCAAAAAGAGTCTGAGTGTTATCTGTGCAGAGAGAAGATGACTGCTTAAGTAACTGTAACACTCATGCAGTCCGGTAGCCTCCGATAGTTTTTAGTTAGTTTATTTTAGTTTTGCAGTAGTTGTAAAAAAATAAAGAAGTAATGCTTCAGAGCCGTCGTTCGTGTGGTTCATGCTCTGCTGTGCTCCGCTGACTTTGGAACTGAGTTTCGTGCCAACAGCTCTAAGTTGTGACTCCATTGCACTTAGACCTGCTTCCCTGCAGTGGAAGGTCTCTGGAAGTGCTTCCCCAGCTCGCCTGGCCCAGTCGGGGCTGAAGAGGTTGAGCCCAGTCGTTGGCACCGGCTCAAAGGCGAAGCTGACACCCGCAGGGGCATGGCATGCGTCCTGGGGGTGGGGCGCGCCACCTGCAGGGGCGTGGCACCCAGCACAGGCAGGGAGGCAGCTGTGATGACACCCCACCAGGATCACACTGCCAGAGGCGGTGCGCTCCCCCCACACTCCTCTTCCTCCGCCAGTGCCTCTTGGGCAGAAGGTTGGCGGTTCAAATGCCTGTGACGGGTGAGCTCCCGTTGCTCTGTCCTAGCTCCTGCCAACCTAGCAGTTCAAAAGCACACCAGTGCAAGTAGATAAATAGGTACCACTGTGGCGGGAAGGTAAATTGTGTTTCCGTGCGCTCTGGTTTCCATCACAGTGTCCCATTGTGCCAGAAGTGGTTTATTCATGCTGGCCACATGACCCAGAAAGCTGTCTGTGGACAAACACTGGCTCTGTGATGGCCTGGGAATCTGATTCAAAGGCTGAACCGGAGGAATCCCGGCCTGCACAGGAGTCCCCGCCTCCAGGGCCGGCTGAGCCGGGGCAGGGGCTTGAATCTGAAGGGCCTGCACCTGTGCCGGATCCTCAGGAGCAGACACCAGATGAATCCACTCTGGCTCCGGGGGTGATTGAGGACCCATTGGCTGCAGGTGCTCCTCTCCCAGTCCTGTAAGGGGAAGGTGAGGCTGCCTCTGGGTCCAGTAACCCTCCAGCCTCTCCTGAGCTGCAGAGGCTCAGGGCAGAGAGGCGGAGGGAACTGGTTTCTCTCAGGAGGAGTGCTCGCCTTAAGGCCAGGAGAGGCGGGTCACCTGTGGGCCGGGACCGCCCCTGGCCTCAGAGAAGATAAAGGCCAGTCAGCCTGGTCCCAGGTTGTGGGAGCAACGACGTTGGAAACCTGTCTCTACCAGCACCCAGACCTGTCTTTCCGGAGTTCCTGACCACACCTGGCTTTTTGCTTTGAACCCGGCTTCCCCCTTGGTGGACAATCTCCAGACCCTCGGCCCAGGACCAGACTTTGACCATGCCTCACGGTAACCCCCCCAGGACCAGCACACTAGCAGTTCAAAAGCACACCAGTGCAAGTAAATAAATAGGTACCACTGTGGCGGGAAGGCAAATGGTGTTTCTGTGCGCTCTGGTTTCCGTCACAGTGTCCCGTTGTGCCAGAAGTGGTTTATTCATGCTGGCCACATGACCCAGAAAGCTGTCTGTGGACAAACACTGGCTCCCTCGGCCTGAAAGCGAGATGAGTGCTGCACTCCATAGTCGCCTTTGACTGGACTTAACCGTCTAGGAGTCCTTTACCTTTACCCTTTTTTTGTTGGGATCAGGGGCTGCTTCGTGTGTGTGTGTAATGAATTGCATGTGTTTTGGCGTACATATGTTTTATATCAATATGCTTTTATTAAAATATATCTTTACTCATGCTTATTCTCTTACATACGATGGAGGTCATTCAGAAAACCTTTTGTGTAACAAGCAGCTAACAAGTTCATTCATAGATAAAGAAATTAAAAGCAACAAATAATAGGTTTTAAGATGCCAGAAGACTCTGGCTGGATCTAGACACATTAAAGAAGCGTTTCACTTCAAAGCATTGTCAATTTAAACAGGGAAAACAGGTAGAGAAAAATGAGACTCTACATCTCCATCTGGTGGCACAATGTTGTATCTCACATACAATGCATATAAATTGCTTTCTCTTTACCAGTCTAGCTGGTCTCTCTGTTGTTTTTCTTGCAAAGCACCAGCGTGACTACCCAGTAGCACTTCATTGCGGGCGCATGTGCAAAATAAATTTTGGGGCAGCACTCCCTGTTTAGTTTGACTGCCCACAAGTATCTAATTACATGCCTTTTCACTTATGATTTATATAGATTTTTAGCAGCTGTGTTATGTGCCTGGGCATTAGGAGATATTAAGAAGGTTGCAGTGTGGGACAGTAATAAGATCTTCTACACATGCAGTTGACAGATACTTTATCGCTACAGTAATAGATTTATTATTACTTTAAATTTTATTACATGAAATGTTGCATCGCTTCTCCTAGGAAAAGGTAACAGGTGCTCTCTAAACGAAAAATACTTAAAAGCTGATGTGGCGTTATCGCAAGAGACACATATTTTAGTGGATGATTAAGACAGAATATGTAGACACTGAGCAAGGGAAATATATTATAGTAGTCCTTCTAAGAATTCTAGGGGTGTGGCTGTACTTGTTCATAAAAATGCTCCCCGTTCAGTGCTACAAACTGTAGCTGGCTCAGACGAGACTTTCCTTATAAACAAGAGTGATTTTCAATTTAGACCAGCATCCTATGCTAAAAAGAAAACCCCATGGTTAGATGTTTAAAAGTCTGCAGCATTCTTAAGCGGGGGGAAATGCAAGATCTCTACTGATGAGTAACATAGTCATGAAACAGCTTTATTTTATTGTGGCTGAGCCTCAATAGGTGCGTAAGATTGTAATAATTGTCTTCAGAATGTGTTATTAGGAATATAAACCACTAGAGGGCCACGTTACACCAACAGCAGTTAAGCATGCACAAACGCCTGTTAAATAATGGCATGTACCAGAGCATCCATTTGCCAACTTCTTAATGTATGTGGAAAATCAAGGTCGGTATCCAGGGCTGAGCAATGGGATTCGTCTTTCTGCTTCCCCTGCGCTTTCTGCGCCTCCTTAAAATCTGTTCTGGGGGTTCCAGCCCTCCAGGGCAAACTTAGGAGAGTTGATGGAGGGGAAGCCCAAACTGCTTGCGCTTGCAGACCACCTGAAAATCTGGACGATGCAGTGGCAAACTCTCCCTCCAAGCCCAGGGACAATCCGCAGCCCCGGTGACTGCGCGGGATGGCCCTGATGATTGACACCTGCCACAAGCGGCTTCAAACTTCATCCTGGAAGCTCCAGCTCCCTGTTGCGTCCGCGAGGTGTCCCCCTCCCCTTCCAAACTGCCGGGTGGTGGAGAAGATGTGATACTCCGGACCCGACCCATTGAAATGAAAGGATTTCACCTAAGGGCATGGATTTTAACGGGTCTGCGTCTCTGAGTACGAATTACTTAGAGAAGCCTGCAAGCACGTGTTGCGGGAGGAGGAGGGGTGGAAGCACAGTGTCTTAATAATAATAATAATAATAATAATAATAATAATAATAGTTTATTATTTATACCCCGCTGGGTTTCCCCAGCCACTCTGGGCTGCTTCCAACAAAACACTAAAATACAATTTATGTTGTGGCCCCAGGAAACTTTATTATGATAATATTTTATTTATCCAGGGGCACAATGGCTCAGTACATCTGGCTGTGAACCCTAGAAGGTTGGTGGTTCGAGCCCACCCAGGGATTGCTGTGGGACACTAGATGGCCCCTCAAGTCCCTACAATTCTACAGACCCTCCAAGAAATGGAGTCCAGGGACAGTCCTGGATTTACAGAAGCCCTCCCGGTTTCTCATTTGATCCTGGAACGTGGGCATGACCAGAATTTTTGTTGGGGGAGGGGACAGGCTGGGGGGGGAGAACATCTGATTTGTATTGATTTAGGAGGGGTAGTTGCCCCCCCAGCTACGCCCACGCCCCAGAATGTCCTGCTTTTCCTTAGGACATCCCTATTTTCATCAGAGACATTTTGGAGGGTGTGGAGTTAACAGACCAGACCCTATAGCCATCTGAAGACATGGGGGAGTTTTGGGTTTTTTTAATGTTTAATGTTGTATTTTTTTAATCTGTTGGAAGCCGCCCAGAGAGCACAGGGGTGAGCAAACTTTTTCAGCAGGGGACCAGTCCATTGTCCCTCAGACCTTGTGGGGGGCAGGACTATATTTTGAAAAGAAGAAGAAGAACAAATTCCTATGCCTCACAGATAACCCAGAGATGCATTTTAAATAAAAGCATACATTCTACTCATGTAAAAAACACCAGGCAGGCCCCACAAATAACACAGAGATGCATTTTAAATAAAAGGACACATTCTACTCATGTAAAAACATGCTGATTCCTGGACCATCCGTGGGCCGGATTTAGAAGACAATTGGACCGGATCTGGCTCCCGGGCCGTAGTTTGCCTACCCAGGGGCTGGGGCAACTCAGTCAGATGGGTGGGGTGTAAATAGTAAAAATGATGATTATGATGGAATTGTTGTTTAGTCGTCTTAGTCCTGTTCGACTCTCCGTGACCCTATGAACCAGAGCATGCCTTGGAAACTCTCACTTTCTTCTCAAAGCTTCTCCTTTTTTATGTCCGTGGAGTTTTCTTGGCAAAATACTGGAGTGGTTTGCCAGTTCCTTCTCCAGGAGGATCACATTGAGTCTAAACTCTTGGCTATGACCTGCCCATCTTGGGTGGCCCTGCATGGCATAGCTCATAGCTTCTCGGAGTTATTCAAGCCCTTTTGCCTCCATAAGGCAGTGATCCACGAAGGGGGGGCATGATGGAATTTGTTGCAGGCACTCCTGTCTTCCACTGCCTCCCGCAGTTTGGTCAAAGTCATGCTGGTAGCTTTGAGAACACTGTTCAAACATCTTGTCCTCTGTCGTCCCCTTCTCCTTGTGCCCTCCATCTTTCCCAACATCAGGGTCTTTTCCAGGGAGTCTTCTCTTCTCATGAGGTGGCCAAAGTATTGGAGTCTCAGCTTCAGGATCTGTCCTTCCAGTGAGCACTCAGGGCTGATTTCCATAAGAATGGATACGTTTGATCTTCTTGCAGTCCATGGAACTCTCAAGAGTCTCCTCCAGCACCATAATTCAAAAGCATCAATTCTTCAGCGATCAGCCTTCTTTGTGGTCCAGCTCTCACTTCCATACATCACTACTGGGAAAACCATAGCTTTAACTATACGGACCTTTGTTGGCAAGGTGATGTCTCTGCTTTTTAAGATGCTGTCTAGGTTTGTCATTGCTTTTCTCCCAAGTAGCAGGCGTCTTTTAATTTCATGACTGCTGTCACCATCTGCAGTGATCATGGAGCCCAAGAAAGTAAAATCTCTCATTTCTTCTCCTTCTATTTGCCAGGAGGTGATGGGACCAGTGGCCATGATCTTAGTTTGTTTTTTTGATGGTGAGCTTCAGACCATATTTTGCGCTCTCCTCTTTCACCCTCATTAAAAGGTTCTTTAATTCCTCCTCACTTTGGAATAGGATGCCCCTATTTTCCTGTTGGAGGGGCTCCTTCTATGATTCTATACCTCGCCCTGGCCAGAGTCGCTTCTCCGTCCTCGGTGCCACGGCGCCCCCTGGCGGAGCTGAGCAGCACCGCTCCCATCCGCCGTCCCCCCCCCCCCCGCACTTCGCTCTCCCCCACAAGGGCACGTCCCCCTCTCGGAGGAGTCCCGCTCACAACTGCGGCGCCTGCCAAGAGGCAAACCCACCTCGGGCAGCAGCAGCAGCAGCAGCAGGCGAAAGCAAGCAAGCAAGCAAGCAAGCAAGCAGGCAGCCCGCCTCGGCGCTGGGAGAAGCGTGTGCTGGAAGGAGAAGGACGGAGCGAGCAGCGCGCCAGCAGGAGGACTTTGCCCGTCCGCATGGCCGAGGGAAGGAGGGGAAGCGGCGGCGGCGGCGGCGCCTTGTGCTGGGCGCTCTGGCTGTGGCTGTGCCTGGGGAGCCCGCCGCCTGCGCGCGCCGCCCCGCGCCAAGAGGACACGCTCTACCTGTGGATCGACGCGCACCAAGCCCGCGTGCTCATAGGTAAGGCGCCCGGCGGGAGGAGGGGGGGCAAAACAGCCACGGGGTCCGTCCCCCCACGCAACAGTTTTGTGGCAACTGAAAAGACATCAGGTTGTGGTTGTGGCTGGGGAAACCCAGCCAGATGGGCGGGGTATAAATAATAAATTATTATTATTATTATTATTATTATTATTATTATTGCTGCTGCTGTTTGGCAATCGGGTTCATTAGCAGCACCAATAAAGTCATGGGGTTTTTCATGGGGGGAAAGTTAAATGAGAGCCTGGGGGGCGGGGCTGGCATTAGGGTGCCAGGACGTGGTATGCGAGGAGAAGCATAGCGTGAAACTCTTCGTCTCAGGGTGGTGGGTTTCAAGCCCCGCGTTAGGCAAAAAAAAAAGTTTTTCCTGCGTTGCAGCGGAGTTTTTCCTGCGTTGCAGCGGGGTCAGGCTAGATGACCCGGTGGGGTCTCTTCCTACTCTCTCGTTCTGTGCTCTCGCCATAAACAGTCTGGAAGCTGCGAAAGTCTGCTTGATCGGATGCCGGTTTCATCCATTCGCATGAACACCAAACGCAGGAATGGACGTAGCCGGGATTTATGTTGGGGGGGGGGGGACGGACGGACGGACGGAAACCCACCTGCCACCATCCTCTGCGTGGCTCCGTCTAGCAGCTCCAGAATGAATGGCCTCCACAACAGTTGTTCTGAATTACTTTCTTTTGACTGCAAGTGCTCAGGAAAAAAATTGTCGATACCTTTCTGCAATTTCTGCTTTAAACATTATTTTTATTTATTTGCTTGGTTTAGGGGAGTGCAGCCGTCCCCCTGCCTGCCCCCTCCCCGCCACACCCCTGGTGCGGAGGCTGCGAGGAGGAGCGTTGGTCTTGCAGTTCCATCAGCGGAGCGTGAGACTCTTAATACCAGGGTCGTGGGTTCGAATCCCGCATTGGGCAAAAGATTCCTGCATTGCAGGGGGCTGGATTAGATGACCCTGGGGGTGGTTCCTTCCATCTCCACCATTCTGTGATCTCACCATAAACACTCTCATCTGGAAGCGTCGTAAGTCTGCCTAATTGGATGCCAGCTTCATCCGTTCACATTAAAGCTGGTCATAGGTCTGTCCAGCGCCACTAGGCATCCAAGTCTGTTTGCAGAGCGATCCTATGCTCAGTTTACTTGGAAGCAAGGCAGTGCTGGAACGATGAAGGGGAAAGTGGGTGGGGAGCCTTAATGAAACCTGTCAGTCCCCTCCTGATTCACCCGCCCACCTCCAAAGTTTAGCCCAATCTGTCTCTCCTAAACAAAGTTCTGGAAATGAAGCTAAGGCAGCCATCACAAATAATAATAATAATAATAATAATAATAATAATTTATTATTTATACCTCGCCCATCAGGCTGAGTTTCCCCGGCCACTCTGGGCGTCTTCCAATCGAGTGTTAAAAACAATACAGCATTAGATATTAAAAACTTCCCTGAACAGGGCTGCCTTCAGATGTCTTTTAAAGAGAAGATAGCTGCTTATTTCCTTCACATCTGTAGGGAGGGTGTTCCACAGGGCGGGCGCCACTACCGAGAAGGCCCTCTGTCTGGTTCTAAGGGGGCTAAATTGCCCTCTGCCCGTCTGGTAGTTCTGATTAATTTCCACTGTATTAAGTGGGATTTACTCCCCCATAAATGTGCATAGGAGAGAGAGAAGCAGCAGCCCATGAGCTTGTGCCGAATTCTTTAAATGTTCCAGTTCTTATATGTGCCCTGGAAAAAAAAAGGGAAGGGGCTGAAGAGGGAGAAATCTCAGGGCCTCTTCATCTGTGCCACATTTTCTGCACGGTAAAGCACTTCTGTGCAGCTCAAGGAGAAACAGGGGGCGGGGAGAGAGCAACTAGATCATGTGCGATGATTGCACAAGTGCATCTCCCCCCCCCTCACCGAAAGCATGACGGTGCTCCCACTCACATGGACCTGTTGCAAAGCGTCAGTGCGCTGTGGCCAATTGTGGCTCCCTTGCCTGTGTACGCGAAGGTATGTGTGCATCTGTTATCACGCATGGCGATCTGTATAAGGTTTGCCCCCTTTTCCCTCCAAAGAAGTGCTTTCCGTGTAGGAAATTTCAGAAGCGACCCCCCCCCCCCCGGAGTCTTGCCTGCCTGCGAAAGCTTCAGTGAAAAAAAAACATTTGCTTTTCATCCTCCATTACAATTAATCTCCCACCTGTTTTGAGTTAATTGGTTTTGTTTTACAGGCTTTGAAGAGGATATTCTTATTGTTTCTGAGGGGAAGATGGCCCCCTTCACCCACGATTTCAGAAAAGCCCAGCAAAGGATGCCTGCCATCCCGGTCAATATTCACTCTATGAATTTCACCTGGCAAGCAACTGGAAGGGTAGGTAGAGTCTGGGATTGGGAAAAGTTGGCAAAGAGCAGCGCAACTTCTGACCGGTGAGGGGAGAAGAGCTGCATGTTTAACCGGAGCAAATATTTAGTTTATGAAAATATTCGCGGAAAATATTTCAGTGATGTGCCAAAAAATCACTACAAAGTGGTTCCTTGAATCACCTGTCATAAGAAATATTAATAAATCACATCTATGACACGCACAAGTATACAGTGTTCTCTCTCTCTCTTCCTCTCCATCTTCTATGAAACTTTGTTCCTAAAGTGGAAAATAGCTCACAATCTCATTCAGAAATTATCAGGTGTATATGGAAAGGTGCTGAAAACATGACACACACACACACACACACACACACAACTAGAATGTTTAGCAGGCAAAATACTCAGCGGCCCAGAGCTTTGTAAGATAGCTGATCTTATGCTTTATATAACACTCCATACTTGGAAGCATTTAACAATTACATTTGCCATTCATAAGGTGCTTTTCCAGTGCACAAGGCCCTTCATGTTGTTGTTGTTGAGTCGTTTAGTCGTGTCCGACTCTTCGTGACCCCATGGACCAGAGCGCACCAGGCACTCCTGTCTTCCACTGCCTCCCACAATTTGGTCAAACTCATGCTGGTAGCTTCGAGAACACTGTCCAGCCATCTCGTCCTCTGTCGTCCCCTTCTCCTTGTGCCCTCAATCTTTCCCAACATCAGGGTCTTTTCACGGGAGTCTTCTCTTCTCTTCTCATGAGGTGGCCAAAGTATTGGAGCCTCAGCTTCAGGATCTGTCCTTCCAGTGAGCACTCAGGGCTGATTTCCTTCAGAATGGATCGGTTTGATCTTCTTGTAGTCCTAGGACTCTCAAGAGTCTCTCCTCCAGCACCATAATTCAAAAGCATCAATTCTTCAGCAATCAGCCTTCTTTATGGTCCAGCTCTTACTTCCATACATCACTACTGGCCCTTCATGTAAATAATATTAATCATCTTTGCAAGTCGCCTGTAATAAATCAGGATGGGGGGCAGACTGCACAGCTTCAGGTAGAGGTGGCCAGTTAGGATAAATGCTACTGAAGTAGATTGGCTAATTATTTGACTTATGAAGCCTATTGCTACCCACCATTACAGATCTGAGCTTGGAGCTGAGAAAAAGTGCCTTGCTTAAAGCTATCTAGTGAGTGGCAGAGGCAAGCTTTGAAGCTCTTGCTGCTTCAGTCTCATACTGCACCATCCTACCCATGCATGTTTAATCATACAATCTTAGACCCTGTTGGGTCATCTAGTGCAATGCAGGAATCTCAGCTAAAGCATCCATGACAGATGGCCACCCTGCCTCTGCTTAAAAATCTGCAAAGAAAGAGGATCTATCACCACTCGTGGGAGTCTGTTCCACAAATCGAAAGCAAGCCCCACTGTCTTCAATGGGGATTACTTGCAGGAAAAAGCACACATAGAATTGTGACCTTACTCGCTAAGTTGCGCTAGCTCTTAGAATTCAGTGCTGTTACCTGTCTGCTTCAATATGGCATCCATAGATAAAATGAAGACCTTCAACCTTTACTATGCATTTGATATGTTTGTACCAAGGGAGGTACTATGAGACAACTACTCTGCCCAGGCAAATTTGCAAAGCACTGTTTGCAAATGATTGGGGCACTGGCATCTGTACACCCGGCAAACCTCTACAAATTGTGTAGGAATGCCTGGTATGAACACGCACATGTGCAGTTTGACATCATGACAACATATGGTGAATCTGCATACAAGCCTTAAGGGCACTGGGGAAAATTCTGGGAACAGACACGTATTTTTCAGGTGGAATAAAAAAAGAAGAAATCGTCCAAACAATTAATAAGCACATTGTTTGCAATGGTTGGATCCATGTTAAGTTAGTAACACTTCTGATCTATTGATATTGTCAGGGAACTGACATCGGAGCTAGAGGCGGAGGGAAGGCTCTCCAATGATGCTGGAGAAGGGCCCAGCAGGGAGAGAGGCAGCTCAGCAGAGGGGGAAGCAATTCAGCGCAACACCAGGAATAAAGGGGGGCAGATGGGGGAATCGGCGAGAGGGCTCCCGGACTCTTCACCGGACACCAGCGGGGAGAGCACGGGTCCTCCGCTACCCACGCCCTCCCTGCGCAGAAGACTTCCGCGCAGAGAGAGTAGGAGGAGACTGGGTGTCAAACAACTTTTATGTTGGAAAAGTTTTAAGAAACGCCCACTGACGGATTCTGCTAGCGACTGAGGCAGCCACGAAGTGAAGGGCTGTCCAGACTGAAAGGCAACAAAGCCAGGAGAGGCGGCAACTTACGCACGAGCAACCCATACTCATTACAGATATCAATGGGGGAAGCCAGTTGTGCTTAATGGAAGTCTCATTGATTCCAAGTGCATCTAAAGCATGGCTAACATGCAGTATAATCTTATGCACATTTACTCAGAGGTAAGCCTCACTGTGTTCAGTAAGACCTGCTCTTTACTAAATGTGTTTAGGGTTGCAACTTGGATCTGGAGCTAATTGAGAATCGGCTCAAGAAGCAGGATGTTATTTAAATGGGATGCACATAAGATTGGCTGATCCTTTTTTTTTTTTCTTAATGAAGAAAGGCATTTATCTCCTTCCCTTTTAAGCACTCTCATTCTTTTATGATTCCTCTAAAGCAAATGAGCAACCATCTCAGTGAGCTTTCATGCATTCTGATATCACCATCCATTTCAACAGGGTGTGACATAATTCTCATAGTTCTTCTATAACGTTCTGCTCTAAGTTCACTTTTTCATGTGGATCCCCTGCCAAATGTCCATCAAGTTAATTCAATGGATTCACATGTCAGTGGGCTTGGACACACAAGAGCATGAGATGAAGGCTAGCTAGGTTGAGGAACAGCACGTTTATTTTGGGACTGCCTCGATTCATGTTCATTTTTTGTGAGCGTTGAAAAGCACAAGCCATTTCTGGCAATTTCAGATACTTGTTGCAGACATAATTGCTCTCCTGGACACCATCTTGCTTCTCCTTTGCGCTCTAGCGTTTTGTGCAACATGGAAGCCATGCCATGCTGAGCTGCTGCCTCCCCATGCCATGCATACTGGGAAGCCATGTCCCTGCCATCTGTGCACATAGCATAAATGTCTGTAGGGAAGATATTTGCATGCACAGCTATGCATGCAAATGCCAGGAGAGGGTCTCTTAGTACACAGAGTGCCAGGAGTGAGGCCAAATGGCCTGCACATCCTACACTGAGGTAGCTCAGTTGGGTAGGACATGGTGCTAATAACACCAAGGTTGCAGGTTTGAATCCCGTATGGAACAGCTACATTTTCCTGCATTGCAAGATGTTGGAGCTGATGATCCTCTGGTCCCTTCTGACTCTACAATTCTGTAACTGGCAGCAGCTCTCCAGGGTGGCAGACAGGAGTCCTTGCCAGTCTGTCTCAAGAAGCTGGGAATTGAATTCTACATGCCAAGCAGATGTTTTCACCACTGCACTAAAGCTGCTCCCCTAACCTCTGAATGAGACTTCTGTCTAGGATCATTGCTATCACACTTCTAAGTTTCCCACGAATGAGTATTTTTCTGCTTCATTTCCACAATCTGGTGAGGACCCTTAGAAGTCTGTTGAGAAGGAGCCCTACTTTGTGCTCTTTCTTTATTTCACAACATTTAGTAAAGGTAAAGGGACCCCTGACCATTAGGTCCAGTCGTGGCCGACTCTGGGGTTGCGGCACTCATCTCGCTTCATTGGCCGAGGGAGCCGGCGTACAGCTTCCGGGTCATGTGGCCAGCATGACTAAGCCGCTTCTGGTGAACCAGAGCAGCGCACGGAAACGCCGTTTACCTTCCTGCTGGAGCAGTATCTATTTATCTACTTGCACTTTGATGTGCTTTCGAACTGCTAAGTTGGCAGGAGCTGGGACCGAGCAACAGGAGCTCACCCCGTCGTGGGGATTCGAACCGCCAACCTTCTGATCAGCAAGTCCTAGGCTCTGTGATTTAACCCACAGCGCCACCTGCATCCCATTTACATGCCACTTAATTGTAATAAAACCTCCAAGCGGTTTGCAGAAATGTTTATGGGTTATCACTTGGGTCTCCCATGCCAACCCGATGCTCTCATGATTATAATTTCAGGAGCAGTGCAAAACATTTTCTGTTTTCCCAAGCTCTTAAATGAGAGCAGTTTAATCTCCCTGCCTGTTTGAACGTTGCTATAATTTGTTGTGTTAGTTTGTAGGTTTTATTTTCTATTTTTATAAATAATTTTAAGTATATTTATATTACTTCAAAAATGCAGAAAATTTACAGGATCTCAGAGTGTAAGCAGTAGAAACAGAAAAATATACTCACATACATGAATACAGTAACTCTTTAAAAGTGAGAGTTTGGTAATGAAAAATAGAAAATGTTGGGCACAGAGATCATGTGAGACTGATCAGATTGATGCTAGCATAGAGAAATATGAGAAATAGTTGTGTAAAAGGCAAGGTATTCAAAACATAAGAAAGAAAAGACAAACGGTTGTAAATTGTCCTGAAATTTGTTGTTCCAGTAATTTACAATAAAGACCATTTCTTCAGTCAAATTGTTGTCTTATGAATTTTATATGTTTCACCTGGCCACGGAGAAGAAGGGGGGTTTTGTTAACGAAGCAGTTTCCCAAACTTTCTTTAATTATTCTCTGATACCTTCTAATATTGTCCATAGCTACTAATGGTTAAACAGAACACAAAAGGTGCACCGGCTTGTAAAATTTTGGTTTTTAAATAACACGGAAGAGCCACTTTGAGATTGGGTATAAAATGGTAACCTCTTGTATAATAGATGAAAAAAATTGTCCAAAAAATATGCATGCAATCTGCCTTTGATGCTTGCCATCACCAACATAAATCTGAGGCTGAGTGATACATTTTGCTTCGTTTACACAGAATGAAGTGCCACTGGTAGATATTTTAAAACAGTTTTCCTCTGGTTTGTCATTATTAATACTGATGGGACATTACTGAGCAATCAATTCCGTTCTTGTTTTCACATAAAGCTTAGACTCTTTGAGTCTTTCCCCCATTTTTTCGGCAAAGATGTTTGCTTGTGATCCAGTTTTTTTTGTCAGATAGGAAACCAAACATTTTATGGACCAGTCTTTTAGTATTAGGGTTGATAATACAGTTCTTTATCACTGGCTTTTCATGAAGGCGGCTGCATTTAGTTATCAAATGGATGTGCCAAATTTGAAAAACTGCCGCTAACCTTCTAGTGGAATAACAAGATCATTGTGATTACATGACCATTGATTATCCACCTGTAGATTGATAAAATCATTTTTTGATGTGAAACTGAAAAAACATCTCATACATTGTGATGAGGTTTTTCTATTCACGTCTTAAATATTACCAAGATAAGCAGTGATAATTCAGGACTTTAGTGCTGTTGACTATAGGCTTACGTATTGAACACTGTGGTTTAAACTGTATTAGCTCTGAGAAGTTTCCCCTAAAATGCCATTGTCCTATTTTCCATTTTTATTAAGTTCAATGGCAAATAACATTAAGAGACTGAGTAACATTACAACGTTATTACAATGGAGACTGAATAAAAATGTGTTGTTCGATTAATCATTTTCTGATACTATCAGACAAGCACTATAAAATACTTTCAATATAATATTACTTGATGTGTTGAGTTGACATAATTAGGGTGCATGAGAAATGAACTTGGGAGGGATAATTTAAAAACAGAGTTACTGTGTCCAGTTCTGGGCACCACTGTTTAAAATAAGGATATGGACAAACTGGAACATGTGCAGAGCAGAATGCCTAAGATTCTAAAGGATCTGGAAAAGAAGCCTTATGAGGAATGGTTGAGGGAGTTGGGTATCCTTAGCCTGAAGAAGAGAAGAATGAGATGTGATACCTCAGATGGGTGGGCTATAAATAAATTATTATTATTATTATTATTATTATTATTATTATTATTTGAGCCATTTTCAAATATCTGAAGGGTGTCACATGGAGGATGGAGCAAGTTTGTTTTCTGCTGGTGCAGAGGGTAGGACCCAAACCAAAGGATTCAAATTTCAAGAAAGGAGATTCTGCCTTAACACGATGGAGAACTTTCTGGCAGTGAGAGCTGCTTGGCAACGGAACAGGCTACATCAGTGGGTTTGTGGACTCCCCTTCATTGCAGGCTTTTAAGCAAAGGTTGGATGGCTATCTCTTAGGGATTCCTTAGCTATGATTCCTGCATTTCAGGCAGTTTCATTAGATAACCCTTGGGGTCCTTTCCAACTCTACAATTCTATGATTAAATAATTCCTAGATTCTGTATCGAAAACCGCATTCCACTCAATCAAAGGTGTGTTTTTTTGTCACCCGAAATTGCTCATGATGCAAATGGGGTTATCGCGATACAATTTATAAGTCTTTCTGTTTTTAATAAAGCATGCTTGGTCTTAGTCCATATGGTATATTATTCTTTAAGTTTTCCAGTGATAATTGTCCATATTTTAAAGTCCTGGTTGATGAGTGATATTAGATGATAGGCGCAGGGTAATGTGAATTGTTTCTACTATCTACATGTCTGTCTTTGATTTTTAGGTTAAGCAATTCATTTATTCTACTTGTTTTTAACTACTCTTTAAACTTATTGTAAAATTCTGTGGTGAAGCTATCAGGTCCTCATGTTTTGATCTTATTGGTTCTAATTACATCATCTTCTGTAAATGGAGCTTCTAGAATTGTTAATCTGGTACAGTTATACTTCGGTAGCTAGGCTGCAGTGAAAAACCTATTAATTACTGCTTCAGAAGGATTCTGTGATGAGTAAAGAATCACTGAAATTGTGCTATTTCTTGTGCTGTTTTTGATATTGTATATGTGATTCAGGGAACTAGTTTCTACTTTTGCTTCTCCTTTAAGATCACACATGAAAGTTTAGAAGTCTGTTACATTTTCAATTCATCTTTGAGAAGATACTTTTAGTTTTCTAGTTTCCAACTTTGCTAGTGTTCACATTGGCTCCTTAGTAGCTTGTGCAGAGAGGGGCAACCAAAATCCTAAAGAGTCTGGAAGCCAAGGCTAATGAGGGAGTTGGGTATGTTTAGTCTGAATAAAGGAGACTGAGAGGAGATATGACAGCCATCCTCAAATATCTAAAGGGCTGTCACATGGAAGATGGAGCAAGCTTGTTTTCTCCTGCTCCAGAGGGTAGGACCCCCAAACCAATGTATTCAAGTTACAAGAAAGGAGATTCTGGCTGAACATCAGGAAGAAATGTCTGACAGTAAAAGCTGTTTAACTCTGGAAAGGACTCCCTCAGAAGGTGGTGGACTCTGTTTTTAAGCAGAGACTGGATGTCTTTACAGTAGTTGAGATTCTTGCATTGAACTAGAACCTCAGGGTACCTTCCAAATCTACAATTCTATTATTTCTATGACTCTATATACTGTTTGATCCTACTTATGAAGGTATACAAGTTCAATCATCTATTTCACTGGCTGCAATTCTTGCTTATTCTTAGAATTCTGAAGCGTTCTGAATGATAGTTTTTCTCATGTATGATTTTGCTTATTGCAGATAATGGGCCGAGTTACTTCAGGGATGGTGTTTATTTCAAAGAGTTCCATTAAACGTGGTTAGAAATATGATCTGAAGTTCTCATTGTAGAGACAGATAATAATACCTCCTCCAGGCTTTTCTCTTAGTCACTGGGCCCTGGTGTGTGCGGTGTTCCTGTTGGGTGGGTATAAGAGAATGCAGAGCTGGACAGGTGAATCCCCAAAGGAAAGATCCCGGCCCAGGGGGTGCTCCTGTGGTCAGGTAGTGAGGCCTGTAGGACTACATTTGGCCTCCAGGCCTGAGGTTCCCCATCTCTTAATCAAATGAACATCTGGGATAGATATGTACCGGTATACGGGATGAATAGAACACCTCTCTCTTCTTGACTATATATTTGAGGTACCGGTCTGACTGCCCAACCACAAACGTCACTCAAGTGCCATGACTCAAGCTTGAACTGTCTTGTGCTTAGCCATACTGGGAGGAAAAGAACGGACCCTGTCTCCTGCAGGCGTCTGTTCCTACCAGCCTGGGGAGCTCCCTGTCCCTGGGTCAAGAGCATGAGGCTCTGTTTGCTGCAAAGCCTCTCTCACCTTTTCATCCAAGGAAGATAATCAGTAGCATGCGGTGAAATCTCTTGTAGGGAAACAATTAGGGCCAGAGGCGAATGTGGGGGGCCAATGGCACATAAATGGGCATAGTGCTGCCCTCCCTAAACTAGGTTTTGGGGAGGAGGCACCAGGTCTCTGGCAGGATGCAGGAGCCCTCCTGCCAGCTTCCCAAAGCAGGGCGGGCTTTGGGAAGGTGACGAGAGAGCTCTTGGACTCAGTTGGAGCATTGCGCCTCCCTGCCTAAGCTGGGCAGAAGCTTCCTGGGTTTTGGGAAGGAGGCGCCAGACTTTATTTTATATATATATATATTTTATTAATTTTTCTGTTTTACAATTTAAAGTACTCGTTTTTACATCCTTAAGATATCAATGACTTCCCTTCTTCTCTTTCCATGGTTCATTTTGCATATCATAAATCCCTGCATATTTTACAAAAACTATACCATCCAGTAATCCATTGTTACATCCATCAAAACTTTTTTACACTGTTGGAATTTATCTTAACGCTGCCAGCCTTCTCAGCTGTACACCGTTATTTCCCATATATTCAATAGACCTTTTCCAATCTTCTCTAAACGTATGTTCTTCTTGTTCTCTTATTCCATATGTTAAGTCTGCAAGCTGTGCATATTCTGTCAACTTAAGTTGCCATTCTTCTTTGGTTGGGGCCTCACTCGCTTTCCATTTTGGGGCTAACAAAACACAGACCGCAGTAGTGGCATACATAAATAATAAAAAAGAAAGTACCAGACTTTAATACTTTAATACTCTAATTTACCAGGAATATTTAGGGGACTGGCCTAGTCTCCCTAGCCCACTAACAGTAAACCACTGAAGATAATACAGCACAGTTGAAACATTTGTCAGTTTAGGCGTATTTAAAATTATAGGAGAGATCCAGAATGGACAGATCCTTCCACCCTAAATGAGGACTTTCTATTAATATCTGCTTCTCTGTTGTTTCCATCCATTGGTTCCAGTTCTGCCCTCTGAAGCAACAGAGAATACATCTGTTACATCTTCTTTTTGACAGCCCATCAGATACTTGAAGGCAGCTATCATGCCTGCCACCGATCTTTTCTTACCTAGGCTAAACAAACCCAACTCTTTCAGCAAGTGTGTAAAAAATGTCGCCCGACTTGAGTTTCTATGGACGTGTACATTATTTAGATCAGAAATCAGTTTGAGGAGAAGAAAGGAATTTTGACTGCCACGGTTGACCCCTTTTATCCTAGCCTCCCTCACAAAGGTAAAGGGATTGTTTATTATAATGCACTGTTGGCACAAAAGGCCGTTGTTCCCTCTCTCCATTTTTAAAAATTTCATCCAGAGGTGCTGTTAACATTTAAACAAAAGTGTGGCAGTGGGCTTCGGTTCAAATATTTGTTCCAAAGAAAGTGTGAACGAACATAAGCCACCCTCTTCCTTGAGTGGATTTGGCATAGGAGTCCTTCCTTTCTGAAGCCACCCTTTCGTTCATAACATTTCCCTCAATGTTTCATTTTTATTCCTTGCATTTTTCTGCCACCGTTTATCCAACAGCCAACTTCAGCAACAGCACACAGACAGTTATGGCAGGGGCAGTTGTGCCTGAATGGTATGTTCACCGCTTTCCTGTCACCAGACAGGGAGAAAAAAATAAAATCTTTTCTGACTTCCATACTTGAGAGGCAACGTGGAATGTGAACATGCTTATGGACACAATTAAAAAGGGAAGAAAGAAACGAGGGTCTTTGTATCAAAAGCGAAGCTCTGAACCTCTAATATTTAGATTCTGCTTCTGCTGTGGTATTTTGCATCTCGGTGTTGTGGACCTGCCACCGGAGATCAAAGCATCGTGCTGTAGAGATCCCACTTCATTTAGCAAGGCAGGCATGTGCCCGCCATCTGTTGTAGCTGCTGACAGAAAACAGCAGTAAATTTCTCAAACTTTTGCCAGAAAAGCTTTATTGCTCAGCAGAGATGAGTTACTAGGTACCTTGCAAGCTACATCTGGTTCGCACAGTCATTTACATGGCATATCTGTAAACTGCAGAATTACCCTCCTCTTCTTCTCCCCACCCTCTTCTTCACGGTAACATAAACCTTTGGCAAATACTGGCTTCAGTGAGATTTAGGCATTTTTGGCGGGCACATTTCCCAAACCAGTGGGGGAAAGTGCTGTAAACCGGGCGGTGGGGAGGGTGTAGTTGCTTTTCTTGTTTTGGCAACATTTAGATTTCAAGGCTTGCAGCCACGGGAGTGAATGGTATGAGGGGTAGCCGCACCGGTGCAAGTGAGAGGTGGTGTGGCTGCCACATTGAACACAGCCTCCTGTGCTTTGCATATGCTACAGACGCAATTCCCTCTTTAATACCATTGGCAGACCAAGGTGCATCATTGCATTAGCACATCGTTCTGCCCAGACACTGAGGTCCAGCGCCGAGCGCCTTCTGGTGCTTCCCTCGCTGCGAGAAGCCAAGTTACAGGGAACCAGGCCGAGGGCCTTCTCGGTAGTGGCGCCCGCCCTGTGGAACACCCTCCACCAGATGTCAAAGAGAAAAATAACTACCAAACTTTTAGAAGACATCTGAAGGCAGCCCTGTTTAGGGAAGCTTTTATTGTATTTTAGTGTTTTGTTGGAAGCTTCCCAGAGTGGCTGGGGAAACCCAGCCAGATGGGCGGGGTATGAATTATTATTATTATAGCACATGCAACTTTCCAAAGTACCAAGAGGCCATTAGGATACCCTGCTGAGGTGACTTCTTGTGGTACTCATTGTGTGGCACATAGGAGGGCACCTGCTTGCAGCTGCCATGGCAACCATAAGTGACTTCTGCAGGGATGGAGGATCAGTCTACCTCTGGTCTGTGTAAATTTCGAATGTGTTGATTCACAAACCCATTCCAGCTCATTTCTATATTAATCTGTGATGAATTTCAGGCACGAGGAAAATATTTTCTTATTCCAGCAGGCGTTTCATGATAGTGTTTTGGTTTATGTTCAGTTTTAGGGCTTCATTTTCCATATGATTTATTTTTTATGTACCTCACTTAGAAATACTAAATGGAAAATGCTTGCTTTGATTTTTTGTTTTTGTTGTTTTGCAGTTTTTCTCTATGTGATTGTAGGTTCTTTTCCCTTCATTTGTCAAAGTTTTTTGAGAGAAAAAATCCATTTAGTTTTCAAATGATTCCCCCCCCCCAGCATATACCCGTTTTAAAAATAGTTTGTAATAGCATTTTGTAAAATTGTATTCTGCTGTAGCAGTACTTCCTCTGATAGCAGGTGTGCAAATGTTACAAATCACACAATGGGAAACGAATAGTAGTTGTAGCACAATTGAAGCTTATACTGTAGTTAACATCACACAGCTAGTGCAAAAACTAAATAGAAGCAATATAGTGTGAGCCACATAAGATGGATATTATAATTTGGATACCAGCAATTTATCCTAAACATATTTACATAAGCCCCTCCTGAATTTGCATCCCAAAATGCACTAAGGACTACTATCTTATTGTCAAAAGAGTTCTGAAGACTAGGTACTGAGAGAGTCTAGTTATCATTTCAAAATCCACCCCCTCTGCTATGGGTTTAGTGGGGTAATTTATGGTTTACTACCCAGTAATCCTAACAATTCATCCCCCTGCCCTCTCATAGTCGTGGGCTGTGATAATGGAGTTTGATCTCCTGTACATTTCATCTGCAGAATGTGTACCACATGGATTAAAGTATATACATCAAAAACTCCAAGCTTGAGTCAGACAAGAACCACTGTTTCATCATCTTAAATGAACAGAGAATAAATGTAGTTCTATTTAAAAAACGAAACCCCATCCATGTAGATTTGTCAAGTGGTAGCTTGATACAAGTTTTTAGTTATTTGAATGTTTACGAGAACCCTAAACTGACTTTTTGTGTTCAAATATTGATAGTCTATAAGAATGATAATAAAGTAGCTTTTATGATGAATGTATCGAAGACAAATGGATAGAACTTTTGCTTTCAATGCCTTTTCTCTATTTCCTGTTCAGAAGGTATGGTCTTTGTTCCATAGGCTTTTTCTGGCCCACTGTCCAATCTTTCATGGCCCACAAACCTGCCCTTTCCCAGATCAGTCAAGCAGTGGGGTGGGGGGTGGGGAAATGGGGCAGGGGGCTTCAGATAAACATCAACTTATTTCTGCAGTCTGACTCCATTTTCAACACTCACAGCTGTTCTCCAATCAAGTGAGCTTGTGGCTGATGGGAGTTGCAATCCCACAACATTCAGAGAGCACCATGTTGGCTGCTCCAGAATATATACTAACTGTGATCTCCGTTCTCCAACTGCCCATTCTTATGCAGCCAAAATGCCAACATTCATGCACAAGGGAATGGAAACACCAGCAGGCTTGGAAAAACACCAAAGTAAGGCATTTCCAGGGAAGCGGGTGGCATTGTGGGTTAAGCCACAAAGCCTAGGGCTTGCCGATCAGAAGGTCAGTAGTTCGAATCCCCACGACAGGGTGAGCTCCCATTGCTTGGTCCATGCTCCTGCCCACCTAGCAGTTCGAAAGCACACCAGTGCAAGTAGATAAATAGGTACCGCTCCGGCCACATGACCCGGAAGCTGTACGCCGGCTCCCTTGGCCAATAAAGCGAGATGAGCACCGCAATCCCAGAGTCGGTCACTACTGGACCTAATGGTCAGGGGTCCCTTTACCTTTACCTTTATTTATTTTTTTATAAAATATTTATTGAAATTTTCAAAATATTACAAAATAAAAATAGAAAAAAGAAAAATACAAAATAAAAATAGTTAAAAACAACTCAATCTTTCCATTACTTATTTTTCATTGGCTTATTTCCCGGACCTCCTCACGCCTCCCTTTTTGTATTCCAGTTCGGTTTGTTGGTTCAGCAAATCCTTCCCTCTTTGTTTATCCAAATCTTAAATCTTAAAATATTGTAACGTTAAATTTTTACCTGTTAGTAATCCATTTTTCATATTCCCTTATAGTATTACAGCTAGAAACCACTTACTTTCTATCCAACATCATTCTAACATTCATTAATTTTACAATATTTCTGTAAATAGGCTTTAAATTTCTTCCAATCTTCTTCCACCGACTCTTCTCCCTGGTCTCAGATTCTGCCAGTCATTTCCGCCAGTTCCATATAGTCCATCACCTTCATCTGCCATTCTTCCAAAGTGGGTAGATCTTGTGTCTTCCAATACTTTGCAATGAGTATTCTTGCTGCTGTTGTAGCATACATAAAAAAAGTTCTGTCCTTCTTTGGCACCAATTGGCCGACAATGCCCAGGAGAAAGGCCTCTGGTTTCTTCAGGAAGGTATATTTAAATACCTTTTTCATTTCATTATAGATCATCTCCCAGAAAGCCTTAATCCTTGGGCACGTCCACCAAAGGTGAAAGAATGTACCTTCAGTTTCTTTGCATTTCCAACATTTATTATCGGGCAAATGATAAATTTTTGCAAGCTTGACTGGGGTCATGTACCACCTGTATATCATTTTCATAATATTCTCTTTACCTTTACCTTTAAGGCATCTTCAGAACTGCCCCTCTTTGGTGGAAACCTCAAAATAGTTCAGTGGGGATGCTCAGGGAGCATGGAGTGCTGGCTGAATGTTGGGGGAGACCAGAAAACTGGCAAGGGTGGAGGGAGGGAGGGAGGGGAATGGAATGTAGTATCCTAGAATAGGGCAGGTTTTCATCTAGCCATTCATGAAAAGGATTACACTTCAGTGAATATTTACTCACAGGTCCTTTCAGTCTTCTAGTGCTATCAGAAGCTCTTTAAAGTCTCACGAAATGCTGAGGAGCTTGCAATGATTTTGAGTCACCATATCCTCCCCTCAATTTTCTTCCGACTCGCAAGCAGACAGAAACATGCAGTATCCAGACTAGTTGGCATATTTCAAAAGTTGGTTTTTTGGCACGAAATAAATGGTCTTCCTTTTCAAACGCACATTCATTCCTCCATGTCTGGAGTTTTCACCTTGAGAAACAGGCTTTTTCCATCTTTGAGATCATTTGCTGAAACGCAGCTTGTTTCTGGATTTGACTATTATATTTAGCCGGGGGGGGGGGAGGCTGGCTTATGGGATTGTTGCCTCGAAGGCAAGGATGGGGAACATGTGGCTCTCCAGATGTTACTCTGCTATAACTGCTCTAATTCCTGACCATTGGGCAATACTGGCTGGCACTGGTGAGAGCTTTAGATCAACAACAATTGGTTGCCTATCTCTGCTCTAAGAGCCACTTTACACAATCATGTTTCTTGAGTGCTGACTACAGCTATCCTAAACAACAAAGAGCCTTGTGACACCTTAAAGTCTTAACACATTTGCTATGACACAAGCTTTTGTGGATTACTGTCCTCTTTATCAGATGTATGAAACATTATCCTGAGTTGCAGGTACTGTATATGCATGCATGGTTAGGGTGTGTCAGAGGAAAATGAAATACTCAGTAGTACAAACAGTGATAATTAGATGCTTAAAGGTAAAGGGACCCCTGACCATTAGGTCCAGTTGCGGACGACTCTGGGGTTGCGGCGCTCATCTCGCTTTATTGGCCGAGGGAGCTGGCTTACAGCTTCTGGGTCATGTGGCCAGCATGACTAAGCCGCTTCTGGCAAACCAGAGCAGTGCACAGAAACGCCGTTTACCTTCCTGCTGGAGCGGTACCTATTTATCTACTTGCACTTTGACGTGCTTTTGAACTGCTAGGTTGGCAGGAGCAGGGACCAAGCAATGGGAGCTCACCCCGTCGCAGGGATTCGAACCACCGACCTTCTGATCAGCAATCCCTAGGCTCTGTGGTTTAACCCACAGCGCCACCCGTTATTGATGCCATAGACCAGAGACATCCAACTCCCAATAGACTGCGATCTACTCACAGTATAAAAAAACTGGCAGTGATCTACCCATTGTCATTGGATGGACCAAAGTTGTTGAGCATTTTGGGGAAAGGCAAAATTGTTGAAGCAACAGTTGTCCTCCCCCCTTTTTGGGTGGGAGATCACTGAGGGGCCAAAGATATACCAGGATCTACCAGGAACAGTATATCATGATCTATCTGTTGGACATGCCTGCCGTAGACAGTCTGGCATTGGTAAGACAATTAACACATACAATATGCTGAAAATCCTTTGCCTCAGTTCTGTCTACAAGTGATAGCATTGTAATTCTGTGTGCATTGTAATTCAGTGGTTTCATTTTGCAGTTCCCTTTTGAAGATTCTTTGTTGTTGTTTTTTAAAGTGATATTTATTGAGAATTTTAAGATTACAAATAAAAAAGAAGGAAAAAACAAGAGAAAGAAAAAAGAAAGAAAAAAGTAGATAAAAGTAACAATTAAACAATACAAATCAGTAATAACCAAAGTCAAAAAGAAAAAACAAAACACACAATACATCAAAATCAAAAAACAAAAATAAACAAAAAATTTAAAAACAGATCTAATATTCCCAGATCCTTAACTGTCATTACCTTATTTCATCGACCTCCTCACACCTCCCTTTTTTGTATTCTGGTTGTTAATTATCTCAGCAAATCCTTTCCATCTTTCACAATATTCTGTCATTAAATTACCTTAATCTATTTTAACCTTACTTTACCATAAAAACCCTAAAACTTAAAACTTAAATCTTATTTATACCAAATTCTCTTAACCATAACATATTCTTACATAATTCTTTTAACATTTCTGCTAAAGCCAAATAATTTCATTCCAACATTTTTCTAATACTCATTAATTTTACGATACTTTTCTAAATGAATTTTTGAAACTTTCTTCCAATCTTCATCCATCGTCTCTTCTTCCTGGTCTCGGGTTTTGTCAGTCCTTTCTATCCCATCCATCTAGTCCATCAACCTGGTGACCTTATGTCCAAGGCTCTTAAGTCTCTTCCATGTCCCTTCCGCAGGTCTTCTTCATATTTATACCTGTACTTTACTTTGTCTTCTGCTCCTTTCACTCGGGGAGACTCCAGCTTGACAATATTTTTGTCCCTTCTCGACAAGTCAGCCCCTTTTCCATAGTCAACACTGAAGTCCATGTGGTATTTAAAGGCATGTTTCAAGGTCCCTCCAAAGTTAAAGGCCCCCACAACTCCAAGCTCCCCCCGGCCCAAAGCCAGACTTGGGTCAAAACATCCCTGCATAGGGGGGTCTATCCAGCCCCCCATCTCCAAGCCAAACTGGACTCCATCTCTCCAAATCTGACTTTTTCCAGGTTCGTTCGTCGAATCCAACCACTCATATTCCTGCTGGGCCACAGCTCCCTCCATCTCTGCCACCCGAGGTCCAGAAACAACCTCCTCCCTCATCTGATCTGTCAAAACACATTCCTGGATTGATTCCTGAGTGGGTTCTATATAGGTACCCACTGCCTGTCCAAAATTTCCGATCGCAACAGTCATCAAATCCATCTTCTCATGTAACTGTTCCAATAAAGCACTTGTCTTGCAAAAGGCAAGCACCAGAGCCTCCGAGTACATTCTTGTTCAAGGTCGAAGTCTGGTCCCACGATCTTAATCTATTGCAGCTGCAAAGCTCCCCAGTTCGGTTTTAATAACAGTTTCATAAGCTCCCTCTAGGGGAAACAATTTCTATTTGTATCCATCTTTCTTTCTTTTTTTTTTAAAGCAGATCTAGCAACAAAGTCTTCCTTTTTCAGATATTTTGTCAATATTTTGTTCCTTTTAAATGCGAAGGGGAACAATGGAATCAATATGTTTCTTTTCTTTTAACTATCTGTCAAAAACGTTTGTCCATAGTCAATGAACTTCCCCAGAACGTCTGTCCTGACACCCCATTCCCAGGTTCAAGACGGTGGAAAATTGCCTTTCTTTACTCTCTCTTCTGCAGGTTTAAACAGTCTAAAAAAAAGGTTCCCCCCTCTTCTCCTGCTTCCAAGGGGGGTTCAGTACTTCTAAATGATGAAAAATTGATCCTTTACAGACGACTTTCTAAACTCTAGCTTGCCGTGTCTTTGCTTCAATCTATCTACAAAAGCGAAAGGCAGACTTCCTGTTTAGACCTTCCCGCTTCAGTGCCAAATTAAAAAAAATCTCTTAATCCAATTTTCCGTTCTACTCACGGGCAGTTGTTTAAAATCCAATTGTCCACAGGAAAAAGTCAGCGCTCTCCGGCAACAGCAATGCGGCTTCACTCCGTGAAAGAAGCAGTCGATTCAAAGCACCGCGCCACTCACCCCACGTCGCTCCAGATCCCCGAAACCGGGTTTCCCCGCGAGTAGGGGGGGGTGCAAAGGTGCCAGCCAAATCCCACGTCCACAGGCTTCTCCCGCCTGTGGTTTTTAATGGGTCTCCGCCTCGCCGTGGCGGTTCAGACCCTGTTTTCCACGGAGCGGATTCCTCCCGATCGGAGGAAATCCGCCATTGCCAGAGGCGCCAACCCGGAAGTCCCCCTTTTGAAGATTCTTTGTTCCAGGATGGCCACTTAAATGTCACTTGCAGAATCTTTGAGAAGGTTGAAATGTTCCCCCACTGGAGAATGAATGTTGTCATTTCTGATGTCAGATTTGTCCTGTGTAGAATGTAGAAGGACATTGTGGAGTTCCCTCAGTTACTCTTCAGTGGGATTTCGGGACAGGGCCCTGTAAAATGTGGTGGAGAGCTTCTCCTCATCCTCCTGTATGTAGTCGGATGTGTTCCCAGTGATGACAGAGCCTCGTTTGCTGGTCTTTTAAACTATGACAAAAGTATTCTTTCGGAGGCTGTGTGTGGCATCATACTTTGCATGACTGAGAGTATGTGGTAAATGATGCTGATTGATGATTACCTCAGCTTAGTGCGGTGGCTGAAACACTGTCTGTAAAAACTGAACAACAACAACAACAACAACAACAACAACAACAACAACAACTTATTTATACCCCACCCCAGACACTCTGGGCGGCTTCCAACAAAAGATTAAAAATACATTAGAACATCAGTCATTAAAAACTTCCCTAAATAGGGCTGCCTTCAGATGTCTTCTAAAAGTCAGATAGTTGTTCATTTCCTTGACATCTGGTGGGAGGGCATTCCACAGGGCGGGTGCCACAACTGAGAAAGCCCCTGCCTGGTTCCCTTTAACTTTGCTTCTCGCAGTGAGGGAACTGCCAGAAGGCCCTCGGAGCTGGACCTCAGTGTCCGGGCTGAACGATGGGGGTGGAGACGCTCCTTAAGGTATACTGGGCCGAGGCCGTTTAGGGCTTTAAAGGTCAGCACCAACACTTTGAATTGTGCTCAGAAACATACTGGGAGCTAATGCAGGTCTTTCAAGACTGGTGTTATATGGTCTCGGTGGCCGCTCCCAGCCACCAGCCTAGCTGCCGCATTCTGGATTAGTTGTAGTTTCTGGGTCACCTTCAAAGGTAGCCCCACGTAGAGCGCATTGCAGTAGTCCAAGCGGGAGATGACTGGAGCACGTACCACTCTGGCGAGACAGTCCGCGGGCAGATAGGGTCTCAGCCTGCATACCAGATGGAGCTGGTAGACAGCTGCCCTGGACACAGCTGTGAGTCCAGCTGCCCTGGACACAGCTGTGAGTCCAAAATGACTCCCAGGCTGCGGACCTGGTCCTTCAGGGGTGCAGTTACCCCATTCTGGACCAGGGAGTCCTCCACACCTGCCCACCTCTTGTCCTCACAAAACAGTATTTCTGTCTTGTCAGGATTCAACCTCATCTGTTAGCCACCATCCTCCAACCGCCTCCAGACACTCACACAGGACCTTCACCGCCTTCAGTGGTTCTGATTTGAAAGAGAGGTGGAGCTGGGTATCACCTGCATACTGATGAACACCTATCTGGAAGGCATCCATTCAGAATTCATGTTTGTTGTGTAGTCAGTGCAATCTATGACAGTGTGCAGGGAAGATGGTGGTTGTGTGCTGATGCACTGGTCAGTATCATGAAAGAAATACTCATTGAGTTCTAGACAATGGAGAAAACCCTCTTAAGTTACCACAGAATTGCACCATAGGTGTAGATTAAGTAAGGCAGAAGGGCAGGTCCCCATGAAAGAAAGGCTCTTCTGCCTGTGTGGCTGGACAGATTCACAATATTGCTAGCTGAGTTCAGGGTGTTGTTTGATGTGTGAAATAGTTATTGCCCATTAGCTTTCAGAGTAATGGAGGCGAGCTGACCAAGCGAGATGCTTATCATTCCTCTTACTAAAATTACAGCAAGAGCAGCTACCACCTCAACTGGCAGTGTGGACTGAATCAGTGCTGTCTAAGACCTTGGCAGCAACTGTAAACAAGAGAAACGAAACAGGGCACAGTCGAGAAAATGTGTCGAAAGAGAAGGAAGAGATGAACAACTTCTCAAAAATAGCTCTTAACCTCTCCACTAGTCTAACATAGGCAGCCTCTTTTGATTTTGGTGCAAGCTTGAAACTAAGTTGCAAAATAGCATACAGCTCTTTGGACCTCAAGATTTGCTACCTTTCTTCAGCCTCCCTCACCTTGTCTCCCTGGTCCATCGTCCTTCATCTCCCTGTTTTCCCTGCTCTTTTCCACCCTAACAAGACTACTTTGGTTCGTGTTTTTGACTCCATTTCCCACGTTGCACTGCTCCATCCTCCACTTCCTCCCACCGCTGAGCTACCTGCCATTGCTTCCTTATTAGATGGATGACCCCCCCCCCATGCTGTCTGTCTACCTGTAGGTGGAGGAAAGGGAAAAGGGAGACTCTGTTGAGGCAACAGGATCCTCCATGCATGGGTGCTGTGCTCATGGTGGACCGGATCATGCCCATAATATCTATCGAAATGTCTGTTCACGAAACAAGAGCACCTCTTCAGTGACATAATACATGTCCAATGTTTGGGAGAAAATACCCACATTTTGCTTTTTATTTATCTATTCTAGGTTAGATATCGACAAGGGTATTTCACATCTTAAAAAAAATGCCTTGCACTTATGGCCTGGATATGTTTAAGGCTGACAGTAGCTGCTGAAGTTTCATCATTTTAAAGAGAGTTTTTAAAAAATGCAGGGGCTGGGAGGTAGATATTTATTATAAAGCAGTGCAAGGCAGCAGGCTGTAGGGCAGCACGTGGAACCAATAAAGGTCCAATTACAAAACCTTTGCTTCTAGCCACACTTTTCACTTATGTAAGTTATTGATTATACTTTCATGAGATCATAATCAAAAGGTTGTTCTTTGGTAATGGTGTGCTAGAGGAGTTTTATCCCAAACTTCAAAGCTGTCTTCTGAGCCTTAAGAACAAAGGCCTCCCTAGTTTGAAGCATGGCCAAAATGACCTTGCATGTTCAATTCGTGCTTCCTACCATTCAAAGGGTTTGGGGCTCCTCTCCATCGGCTGTGAACTCTTCTCTCATCACATCAGGTAAACTTCTGCCTCTGACAGATGAAAATCTTTAAGTATACATTTTTAATTTACAGCGATGCCACTCGGAAACCTGTATATTTACACACGGTTCTAAAGACGTGTTTATTTATTTTGCCCCAAAGGCCCGTTCCCTTTAATCTTGCAAATGAAAAGAAAATTGCAGCAGGCTTGACATGATTTGTTTTTCTCCACAGCAGAGAAAAAGTATAAATAAATAGGTGAGAATCCATCTTTTGGGTTTTGCACATCATCTTCTTCAAGTAACATTGCTGGCTTAAGGCTACAATCCTTAAGGCTATATTTGCCTGGGAGTAAGCCCTGTGGTAATAAATGGGATTCACAACTGAGTAGACAGGCATGTGCTTGTTTAGTAATAAACTACTTCCCAGCTGCAATCCCCCAATATGATCTCTCCTGCCTTTCAGAATAAAATCTCTATGTGTATTTTTGTTCTTCAAAATAAAACTGCAATTTGGTACGCTCCCAGAAAAAAAATGTTCTGTGTGCCTATGAGTCTGTCCTTTCCCTCTTTACTGTTTTATTGGCACACCTAGTCGGAAGAAAATCTGGAATGTGCAAAAGAAGTGATAGTTTAATTGTGTGTGAGAAACCTTGAAACTTTGATGGAGGAGGCAACTCCTTTATTTTTCAAGGGCCATAGCTCCGGGACTGACAATCTGCTTTGCAAGCAGAAGATTCCAGGTCCAAGTCCCGGCAACTCCAGGTAGGAGTTGGGGAAATCCTGTTGGGAAACCCTCCAGAGATGCCACCAGTCAGTGCAGACGCTGCTTTGCTAATGGTCTAACTCATTATAAGGCAGCTTCCGATGTTCCTCTATCTTAAGAATTGTGTAGAATGAAAACTCTGTGAGGCAGCCTTCAATACTACTGCCTTCAATACTACTGTGATATCAGCAGGCATGGCACTAATTCCCAACAATATCTCAAACCTGCTTGTAGACATCCGTAGACACACTCCCAATTGGCCTGAAAGGAACAACAAGTGGCTGTGGGTATATCCAGAAAACAGCATCTCCTGATTTGCAGTACGGGCCTCTCAGGTGGAAAGAATCTACTGGCCATAGTCTGGAGCAGGAAGATCCTTGCACCATTCCTCTTACAGCTGGGTAACAATAGCCACAAGCGTGGAATAAAGCAATTGCTGAGCTAACCCCCTAGCCCAAGCTACAGAGGTGGGCAAACTTTTTTTCTGTTGAGGGCTGCATTCCCTTAGGACTACTAGGACTACAGAGACCTGGGTTCAGATCCCCACTCAGCCTTGAAACTCATCATCCTTTTACCCTAGCTCTCAGTGTAACCTACCTCACAGGGTTGTTGTACAGATAAGCTTGGCAACTTAGGATGAGTCCCACGGCTCTCCCTTAAGAATGACTCAGCCTGGATCTTCGCCTATTTTATATTGGGATTCCCAGCTACCTTCCAAAATGCGACAGCAGAATTACACAGTGGAAAGCAGCGCTAAGATGGAGAGGCGAGCAGAGAGCTGCTGGTTTGACTCACCAATTGTTGTTTTCAAACGATGAAGAACACATTGTTTTAATCACAAAGCCCATTATAACCTGGGTTTTGATATAATTAAAACATCAAAGCTGAAACAATGAGAAACAGACAGTACGGCCGTAGCTCTGATGCCATGGCTTCATAGGGATCTACAGGAAACAAAACAATTATTTTTCTTCTGAGCAGACTATTTTGTTTTTAAAACAAGTGTTCATAAACAAAGTTGTACAGACCATTTGGATAGTTTGCTTATTCCACATTGCATGGAAAAACTGCATGCCTTTTATTAAAACCTACCCTGAAATTTAGCTGTAGTTTTCACCTCTTATCTCCTGTTTTGCTACCTTCCTATTCTGCACTGTATTTCTCTCAAATGTCCTTTACTGAGTGGAGCATTCTGCCTCCATTAGGCAAATTTTCACTTGCTTACCAAGTACCAAAAAGTTTAAGGGCTTCAGTGCTACACAGAGGGGGAAAAGAGTAGATCTTTTGAGTGAGGGACAATTGACAGATTTTATTTTTCTATTTCCCTTTTCCACTTCAACGTGTGCCAATTTTTCTGTATAGTTTTTTAAATCCCTCTGCAGTTTGCTTGCCAACTATTCACCAGATATTGAATACCTGGTATTTCAATAAATGATGATTATACTTAGAGCAGACCTATTGAAATCGGTGGACTTCAGCCATTCTGAGCATGACTTAGTGGAACATCACCCAGTATTTAATATCTGATGGTTGAAATTCAACAGTACTTAATAGGTGGCATGTAACGCTGTGGGTTAAACCACAGAGCCTAGGACTTGCCAATCAGAAGGTCGGCAGTTTGAATCCCCACGATGGGGTTAGCTCCCGTTGCTCAGTCCCTGCTCTGCCAACCTAGCAGTTCGAAAGCACATCAAAGTGCAAGTAGATAAATAGGTACCGCACCGGCGGGAAGGTAAACGGCGTTTCCGTTCGCTGCTCTGGTTCGCCAGAAGTGGCTTAGTCATGCTGGCCACATGCTGGCCGGAAGCTGTACACACCCTTGGCCAATAAAGCGAGATGAGTGCTGCAACCCCAGAGTTGGCCACGACTGGACCTACTGGTCAGGGGGTCCCTTTACTTTTACCTAGTGACATTTTCAGTGCAATCCACCCACCAGCCAGGAAGCAGAGGGGCTTAAGAGACTGAGGGTCCACCATTGTGTCTGTAGACTCATGCCAGCTGGGGCAGAAGGCAGGGATGGGTAAATCAGTCGGGAGCTATGCAGCAGGGCCAAAATTGGGTCCAAAGCCATCCAATGATGCCAGTGGGACCAGCTTAGAATCCAGCAGACCTCAAGCAGACTCAACCTTACCCCCAGAATGTCCTGTTTAGATGTGTATTGCCAGCAGCAGGGACCCCATTAGCAGCATTTCTTCCCACCCAACATTTGGTGGAATAGGAGCTCTGGGGCAGCGTAGCTTCATGGGTAGAAGCCTGCAGGGCTGCACAGAGGGACACCTTTACCAGAGTGCCACACCAAACAATGAGCTTTCCCTGCTTCCCCCTCATTTCTGAACTCCTGCGTTAACATTTGCCCTTGTTTTCTTTCTCGACCACCTGGTTCCTAGAAATATGCTATAGGGACACAAGTGGCGCTGTGGTCTAAACCACTGAGCCTCTTGGGCTTGCCAATTAGAAGGTCAGCGGTTCGAATCCCCATGACAGGGTGAGTTCCCATTGCTCAGTCCCAGCTCCTGCCAACCTAGCAGTTCGAAAGCATACCAGTACGAGTAGATAAATAGATACCACTGTGGTGGGAAGGTAAACAGTGTTTCCGTGCGCTTTGGTTTCCATCACGGTGTTCCGTTGCGCCAGAAGCGGTTTAGTCATGCTGGCCACATGAGCCAGAAAGCTATCTGTGGACAAACGCTGGCTCCCTCAGCCTGAAAGCAAGATGAGCGCCGCAACCCCATAGTCGCTTTTGACTGGAGTTAACCGTCGAGGGGTCCTCTACTTTTACCTTTACCTTAGAAATATACTTTGCCCCTTCTGTGCCCCACCCCGTTTTATTCTGGTGCTGCTACTGCCCAGCACAAGGGATTTGGATTGCAGCCTCTGACAGTTGTCAGCTTATCAGATTTCTTATTTGATCCCTACCAAAATAACAACAATGAAGGGTGAATGAAAAAAAATCTTTTTTTGAGGAAGGAAATGTCTCGTTAAAATTTCGAAGTACTTTATTCAATATATGAATGGCAATATGACATTCTGGGGATGGGGATGGGGAGGTCTGAGTCTGCCTGGGATCTGCTGGATTCTGAGGTGGCCCCACTGGCATCATTGGATGGCTTGGGACCCGATTTGGGCCCTGTTGCACAGCTCCTGAATGGTTTACCTGTCCCTGCCTTCTGCCCCAGCTGGCATGGGGCTACAGATGCAGGGGTGGACCCCTCAGTCTCTTAAGACCCTTCAAGTATCTGTTTCAGATCTACCAAAAACAACAACAACTGAGGATTGATATCTCCACTGACATTACAAGTTCACTTAACAAAACATTCATGACCAACATGACTAACTTAGGTTTGTTGATTTCAAAGGGTCTAGTCTGGGAAGGACTTGGCTGAATATAATTTGTGATGAACAAAGTAGTTTCCTTCGCATAAGTGTTCTTCTGTTCCTTTGTACTCTTACTTTAAATGGTGTGATTTAAAAAAAAAACACAATACAGTAGAAATGCAAAAAAATAAATAAATTACAATATCTGTAAATAGCCAAAAATCCAATCCAATGTTCAATCTCCAGTTCTATTACTCATGTTCAATCTCCAATTCTATTACTCAGAGGTAAGTCTTCCTATGTTCATTGGAGCTTACTCGCTGATACATACGATTGCAAGCATTAGTTGTATTGTTCGCCTTAGACGAACATGAAGAACAAATAGCCCGATGTGATAAAAATTAACCTCTCTTATACATTCATTTTCTTGCAGGCTGAATACTTTTATGAATTCCTGTCCTTGCGCTCATTGGATAAAGGCATAATGGCTGACCCAACTGTGAACATCCCTCTGCTGGGAACAATACCTCACCAGGCATCAGGTTTGTGGATCTGTCTGCATTTATGAGTTCAAAGATGGGGGAGTTGCAAGGAAATACCATATTTACTTAAATCTAATGCACCATCAAATCTAACGCGCACCCTAATTTGGCCAAAAAAGGTGTGCATTACATTCGAGTAAATATGGTAATTTTACGGTTCATAATGAATAAAAAATAATATTATAGTACAAACTGATCTGTAAGGGGAAAGGTTTGCCATAATGCTGAATATTTATTCTGTATAAATAATATGTGATCAAGAGAATGTAACTTCGCCTGTGAAATAGCTAATGAATAGCATCTTTTATGTATTTTCTCTGTACAAGCTAACCTTGTTAGTATTGCTAATGGCTGCAGTCTAGCAAAAGCCAACCCAAAGTGCAAAGCATAAAATATATGTATGTTAAATGTGACTCCTACTCTCAATGCTTACAAAGGCGTTACTATTATAAGATTTCGGCATCTCCGTAGCAGTAGCCAAATAACAGTTGGTGGTTCCAGTCAGCGGACATGAACGATGACGGGAGCAAAATGGTTTTCAAGGTGGTTTCTATCCACTTTACTGATGTACCAGACTGGAAAGGGTGTGTGTGTGTTTCAAAATTAGAGATTAAGTATTTAATTGCCAGGTGGCAAAGACCTCAAACTATAAAAAGGCAGTAACGAGTAAACTTTGGCAACCAATAAGGTTCTTCATGGGCCCGGGGGGGAGGGGGGGAGGGGAGAGAAGTGCTCAAGGGAAAAGTTTAGTTTTCTTACTGTATAGTATTTTTGTAAGAAAAACAAATGGACACACTGACAACAGCAGGCAGAGCAAGTGAATGAAGGGAAATACACACGAACAGACATAATTTTATTTGCATGCCATCTTTCCCCAGTTCAAACCAGTGCCAGATATACGTATAAGCTAAACAAGCTATAGCTTAGGGCCCCATTCTCTTGGCCCCCCCCAAAAAAAAATTAAAGAAAAAAACCTGGATGTACATTTCCAAAATATAAGATAAAAAACCTACATACAGCAACAGTATTTTGTGTTGTGTAGGCTCCTATTTGTTATGTGCAAATGGCTTTAGAAAACCTATTAGGTCCATAAATTACCTAATAGCATATATTCAACACAAAAAACAGCGACAATTTGTTGTTGACAAAGGACAGCTGAACATATAAAGGGCCCCATCACCTTCAATAGCTTAAACTAAAACCAGCCCTGGTTCATACCATGCTCAAGGCGGCTTAGAACATGAATAAAATACGTAACTACAACAAAACGAAAGGAGTCATAAACAATGAATAAAACATTTTTTTAAAATTACACAACCAAATTGAACAATTTCCACATAATTCACAACAAGATCTAAAATGAAATACAAAGATACAGCAGCAATACTAGTGAGGCACATAACCTGCAGACTGCACTAGTGCAATACGGCCTATGCTTCTGCAAAGTTGCCATGCGCAGAGGCTACAATGCGTCTTGTACTGAGGCCAAAAGTGTATCTGCAATGGAGACAACCCACATCTCGAATCTCATATGTTGCAGCTGCTACATAGAATTGTTGCCCCCTCAGGAGGAATCTGGCAGGTTCCCACTTGGTGGCCACCCCACAAGGGCTGATTCACACATACATGTTTATCGCTTAAAACATGCATCACTCCATGATTTATATCACTTAATGGCTCTCAGCTGAACGTGGGAACTGTCTCCAGTTGCAAATCTTTGTGTCTGGGATTCTGGGAAAGGTCTGTGTCTGGTGTCGGATCTGCCAGAGCCCTTTCCCAACGTGCAAGCCATTAACTTGGCGTTGCAACCATTGCATGCATCCATACAGTGCTGGTTTGTTTGTGTAGACTGCACGCTTTCCCCAAAATTGCAAGTTATCGAGAGAGATACATATGGGAAAGGTCGTTTGCCATTGCTGCATCTGCCCCCGCAAGCTTGTTTGTGTCAGATGATCTGATAGCTTGGTAACTGCAAAAGCTCTTGAACTTTTGCTGTCAAAGTTATCTCATGTTCCACATCTGAAAGGGATGAAAGAAGGAGCGAGCGAGCTTCAGGCCTGCAGAGCAGCAAAATCACGGAGCTGTGAAACACGATTTCCCATGCAAATCGGGCAAGACTTGTGGAAGGATCAGGTTTTGTGCGTTCTGAAGTTGCTTCAGCAACTGACCATTTTGGAATGCTGAAGCCCAGTGCTCAGTCTCAGCTCTCTTCCTCATCCAGTCTTGGAAAGGGGTTCCTTGTTCCTCTCCTTTTGGGAGGTCTGAATGGAATGAAAGTAGGCTCGCTATAATTGTAGTTCTGGTGACTTGAGTTCCAAGACTGCTTTGGAGATGTAGACTTTGTTTCCATATGGCGAGCATGTGCAGACATACAAATATACTTACAGGCTGCACTGAATAATAAGCGCCCACTAAGTTAATACATATGGTTTGCAGTAGTATTATTCAGTAAGCTGAGTTTGAAATGTATGTGTGTGCATCAACATGATACATTAGTAATTCAGGTCTCAGTGGAGCCGGTTATTCTGAAACACTGCAGCTCAGCAAATAACGTTTTCTGTGGCCTGTGAGTGGGAAAGAAACACCCAAGAATTTGACAGCTATGACCACTTTACCTCATGGCTCCTTTGAGCCAAATAAAAGTATGACATGGAACTGATACAAAATGGCATCTATAATGAAGAACGGTTTATGTTTCGTATGATGATGCTATTGTGTCTGTTTGCGATTAGTATTTGTTTGCAGAAACAGTGAGCTAATCACCCCCCCAAAAAAATAGATTGGTGTTTACTAGCAGAATATCTTTATTAGTAGAGTATTTTGCAGTAAAATCCTCAAAATGTGCTGTAAGGAGGGAGGGGAACCTAATAGGTGCAGTTCCAAAAAGCATCAATGAGAAGCTGGTCATAAAGAAAGCAGATAAATGTCACTATTAATCTCAAGCAGCGTTCAAATGAAACAACCACAAAACAGCATTCCAAGGCTTTGGGGTTACCAGGCTTTTCTCCTCATTAAAATACTCCAGATTTACTGCCTTCCATTGGCTCTTTGTAGTTAAAAGAAAGTTTGCATTAAAGGCAGCCATCCCCATCTATTTGTTGCATTTAGAACACTTAACACCTTTGGTTTAAACCGGTATCTTTTATAGTTTTTCTCTCCAATTCCTTGGGGAAATGACAGAACTATCGCTTAACGTAGCCATTTTTTTGCTAAAAGATATGAGTACAAATAGAAACATTTAGACTTCACCGGTGCTTCTTCTCTGTTAACATTGTGGAAGTTCCCTCACTGCGAGAAGTGAGGTTGCAGGGAACCAGGCAGAGGGCCTTCTTGGTAGTGGCACCCGCCATGTGGAATTCTCTCCCATCAGATGTCGAGGAAATAAACAACTATCTGACTTTTAGTAGACATCTGAAGGCAGCCCTGTTTAGAGAAGTTTTTAATGTTTGAAGTTTTATTCTGTTTTTAGTGTTTTGTTGGGAGCTGCCCAGAGTGGGTGGGGTATAAATAATAAAATTGTTATTGTTGTTGTTGTTACATTGAGATTTTTCCATGATGCAACCCAGGGCATCATGCAAAGGATTTCTAGGCTGTGTACCATCCTGGTGTCAGACCTGCTTAGTTTCAGCGCTTAGTTAGACTGGCACGCATCCCAGGGGTATGGCACGCTGCCTGTGGGGGCGTGGCGCCCAGCACGGGTGGGGGGGCAGCCACAATGGCACCCCACCAGGATCGCGCTGCCGGGGGCGGTGTGCTCCCCCTGCACTCCTCTTCTACTGCCAGTGGCTGCATCCTGCATCTTCAAACCATTGCCCTGCAACCAACTAAAGTTGCAAACTTCAATGGGAATATATTCCACTGAACTCAATGGAACCTTCTTCTGATACGTATAGGACTGTACTTTAGAAAATATCTATATCCACGTGTGACAGAGCTGCCTGCTTATCCAGGGACATAGGAGGGATCTTATGTTGCAGCCCTGACCAATTCTCTTTAAGCATCACTCAGAGCAAAAGAAAATGATCTGTCAGCCACAGCCAAAGACAAGTCCCGGCTGCAAACAAGATTGGAAATGTCCCGACATGGAAAGCTAAGATCATTCACTCAATGAGTGCAGAGTGTGAAGAATTTTGTCAGTGTTGTTGAAAATGTTATTTTAAAAAGGAGACTTGACCGGTCCATTTCTTTATTTTAAGAATGGGAATATGAACTCAGAATAATTTAACGGTGGGCAGCAAGAATCCCGTTATCCAGTTATAGGGTTACCCTATTGATTGTAGCTTCCAAGGTTTGCTCACACTGGTGCACAAGGCAGTCATAAGAACACAAGGAAAGCCCTCCTTGATCAGACCGATACCTGTTTCTGACACTGGTTAGGTGTGCATAAGCAGCATGTAGGTGTCACAAAAACAGTGCTTAAAAGCAGTGCCACTACCCTCACATGCCTTGTTGATAACTGACATCCCTTGGCACAATTAGATGGGGGATGGACGACGACAAAAGTTCCATGAACTGTGTAGATGCAGCTTGTTTGACTCAAAAATCACCATGGTACCACAGTGCATTGGACAAGATAATTGAATCATTAGCACCTATTGTAGCACTTTTGCAATATGATCAGCTGTTTATTCATAGTACTTGTTTTGCTTATTTATCAGTAGATTATCATTGGTGTGGAATGTCTTTTTTAAAAATTCCCAGATTTCACAGATAATCAGTAAGACCGTCTTTTATTTTCTTTGCACTTTGTCCCCTGCCCTTTTTTTTAGTTGTCCAGGTTGGATTTCCCTGCCTTGGGAAACAAGATGGCGTGGCGGCATTTGAGGTGACGGTCATTATCATGAATTCGGAAGGCAATACCATACTCCAAACGCCACAGAACGCCATCTTCTTTAAAACATGTCAGCAAGGTAACCAGAACCTGCCCTTGGAAGGGAAGTTTGTCAGTCTTGTCATTGTCCTCACACATCTGGGGAATAGCGGGTCACATTTGTCAGACCAGAAACAACCTTAGACGCAATTTCTACTATGAATACAGATGAGGATGAGAGGTTTTTGGGGGAGGGTTACAGGGATGAGGGAGGGAAGGGGGAAAGTTCCTCAGTTCTACAATTCTACGGTCTTTAGGAGGGCATCTCAGGAGGTCAGGGGCAGCCAGAGGCTTAATAGGAAGGTGCCTCCACTCCACCCCTCCCCCAAAGGCAGCAGTGGGTTCCAGCAACATCTAGTGAGATTTTGGTGAAATCTCGCCAGAAGCTGCTGCCGCCGCTGCTACCACCACTTCTCCTCACCACTGGAGATGGTGGAGAAGCTGTGGTACCTTCAGGGGCACTGCCTCTCAGTGTTACACCACTTGAGGTGGCTGCCTCAGTTCACCTCATGGGCAGGTGGGCCCCGCCGGAACAATAGGATAGATCAGACCCCCCTCTTTGAGAGTAATCTGACTTTGTAGATCCTATTCCATGGAAACATCTCAGGCTCTAGCAGAGGCAAATTTAGGGAAGTGCAACCAGTTCACCCACACGGGGCACCAAGCTGAGAGGGTTGCCACAGGAGGTGCCACAGCAATGACTTAGAGCAGAAGATGAGAAGCAGGGGGCACCCGAATTTTGGTCTCACACAGTTTGAAATCCCACCACTGGCCCTAGCCTCATCAATATCTGAACTCCTACATTGGTGGGGCAAAAAGGGAATGGATCAGGGCATTCCAATGTGAGGAGAATTATTAAAGGGAAAATAAAAGCCGGGGAAAGGGATTTTTTTTGATAACACTACTCTCCTTTCACTTCTACCCTGTCAAAGAGCCCAGCAGGGTGTTGGGTGTGGCAGCTCATTTGCCTTCAGTTCTCCTCCTTTAGGATTGCTGCCTCAGAATCCGAGCCTGTGAATATCTAGTTTTCTTGTACATTTTATTTGAGCATCTCAGTCAATGTATACTACCAAAATGTCCATCATTCGGACACTGGGATTAACTTTCTGGGCATTTCCCACTGTTCCATCTCCAGCAGACTACGATGCTCTTACCTCAGACTATAATCAGACTGTTCACACAACACATATTCAATTCATCCAATAATTATTACCATCTTCTTTGAAGCTGAATGTCCTGGAGGATGCAGGAACGGCGGGTTTTGCAATGAAAGGCATGTATGCGAATGTCCAGATGGATTTTATGGTCCTCACTGCGAAAAAGGTAATCGAAAGGCTTCAATTATTTCATGGGCTTTTATTTACACTGCGAGAACAGCCAAGCAGTCGCTGCCTTTCAAAATATTGTTTTGTAGAGATTTTCAGATGTGGCTTAGGCCGCTTCCAAAAATTAAATCTAAACGCATAAGAAAAATATTTTACGAGCTGTGGCTTCTCAGAAAACATAGATTGTTTACACAAAAAGATAAAGAAGTCTCCACTGAATGGTTTAAAGGACGGAACAGGACTGACCAACAACTGAATGAGCGTCCATCTGGCAAAACATTAAGTAAAAGGCTGTTGCTAATGAACACTAGCTGTAAAAGTACCACAGTTATTTTACTCAGCTATTGTTACTGAAGAGAATGTCCCAATTTGATCATGAAAGCGTCTCCATCTGTGCAGAGGAACAGCCTGCCGGGGAGAGAGAGTGCAATAGCCTTGCCTCCTTTCCAGCAGGCCCTGTTAGCCAGAATCAGTTCGGATTTCCTCAGATCTGTGCCTTGTAAATCCCTGCCTGTAATTTGTCCCTGTTTTGCTTTTGGCAGGCATTTCTGGGTATCTCGATATTTATTTATTTTAGGTGAAGCACTCATGCACCTAGAGTTATTCTTCCATCGTTATTAGAAGTTGAAGTGGTTTGCCTTTGAGACTGTAAGCAGGGTGTAAATATGTAAATGAAATGGAAATGAAAAGGTTAACCAGGCGCAGGCCCATGTCACTATAGACTCAGGGCAACCTGGCTGGACCCACATATTCCCTCACACATTATTTACATGCCAGAAGGGGGAGGTAGAATCACAACTACTACACTTGCCCCAAACCTGCCCACACTCACTGACCATGATTCCCAGCAACTATAGGGAATAATCGAATGGTAGAGTTGGAAGGGGCCCAGGAATCATAGCTAAAAATCCCAGATAGGTGGTCTTTGTGATGATAATGAGAAAGGTCTCCTCTTCACAGCCCATTGGTATCTATGCAGTGGGGGCCCGGTAGTCTCTCCTGCCATTTCGCGCATTCAGCGAATGCCTGGGTGTGGTTGTGTTTAGGCACAAGGATGAGCAAATTTACACAACCCGCAAGTGTCCGGGGGGGGGAGGAATGGGAGGTTGTGTTTCTCTCTCACAAGGGAACAGCAGCCATTTGGGGAGCTGTGATCTTGCTCAATTTCACGGTGCAATTTCCCCCATGAAAAAGTGCTTTTGGGTGGGCTGTGATCTCGTGCAGCATCCTAAAATGCATGTTTTGCGGCTCTGTGCCCCCCCCAAAAAAACACAAATTGTGGTGCGAAATCATGGCTCCCTAAATGTCCGGCGAGGAAAATGAGAAGGTGTTATCCAGGAAGATGGTGTACCAGATTTTGCTGTCGTGGTGTTGGAGAATATGAATTTACCAGTTTACTATATCCAATGCAGTGCTAAGTTAGAGGCAATTAGTGGTATACTTGTTCCTCTGGTGAAAGGTTTTGTGCCTGCAGGACATAGTCACACAATAAAATGCACAAGCAGGTTGAGAGTAACTTGGTTGCACGGTAAACGGTGCCATCTGTTGAGCAATGAGTTTCCGCTGGCAAACTTGCTGCATTGGATTCCCCTATGGAGCGACATTAAAACTCACCTGTTAGCCTTCGCGTTAGCGAGCAGCTAACATTGGATATAGCCCATAGTTTTCTTCCATGGCAGCATGATGCCTAAAATGCTATTTACACGACAGCATACGAATCAATATGGCTACCTCCTCACACACTCACACACATAAACAAATTTCTCTACAGCCAACCAAAGACAACCAACCACACCCTAGGTGTTATGTACTGAAGTTCTCACCCTGGGCCAGCAGGGGGATACTGTAGATAGTTTTCACTCAGGTCCAAATATGCAAATAAGGGATTGAAAGTGACGTTCAGTGATTGGATAGTTACAGAAAGTTGTTACAGTTGCGTTCTAGTGGAGCTCTATATAAGCAGGCTGGCTGAACCCTTCAGTTCTGTTCTGTTCTGGCCTGTGAATAAACAAGAGCTGTCTGAAGAATCACTGTGTCGTCTGATATGTTCACCCACAACTTAACACTAGGCTACCCCCAACCTCTCTCACCACCAAGGAAATATAACAAGCAAATAGAAAGAGAACCCACACAAGTGACGCTGACCCCACACGTATGCTAAGTAGAAAAAAGCATTGCCACCCCACCCCAATCACCATTCCCCGCTTTCCCCCTCTTTTCTTCCCAACCTAATACTGCATGCAACACTAATGTCTCACAACAAACGTAACTGATCTGTAGAAAACGCAACGTGAAAAAAGCGACAATGCGTGTATTTTTGCAAACTAAGAAATCTTCAATACAAATTAATATTATTATTTTAAAATGTAATTTGCAGAGACAGGTGTCTGAAAATCAAAGCTCAAGGGTTTTATTACACCCGATTTCAGGCACCTTCTACTGCTGCTGAATTCATTTTGCCTGCAGAAGAGACTCTTAAGGAGTCGTATGAGTTGCAAGATAAAATGTGCTTTATGCTTTGAAGGTTTTTCCTCTCTGCATCAGTGCCAACATCTCACTATAGTGTTGATTCTCTCCATTCAGCTCTGTGCACTCCGCACTGCATGAATGGTGGACTCTGCGTCATGCCTGGATTGTGTATTTGCCCACCTGGTTTCTATGGCATCAACTGCGACAAAGGTATGCTTTAAAAAAAGGATTACAACGAGACCTGTGAGCTTTAACCATTCACTCAGTAGGCTAAGCCACCAAAGCTTTCACAGCAGATTTTTAAAAAAAATTTTCACCTCCAGTTAATTGGGAGAACTGCAAACAAGAAAATTTGAGCAGGAAAAGTGAAGAGCAGACAGGACAGCCTAGCTGACAGTCTAGGGACGGGGAGGAATTTGATTCAGTTAGCATTTAAAGGCAGCTCTGCCCAACACACACTTTCTGAAACAATATGTGAGCTGGAAACACGGCCATTTTTCGAAATCTGTGCTTCTCTGATTTTAGCGATACTGTGCTCTAGCCTGGAAAAAAAATGCATATACTGAGAAAAAATGTGCATTAAAATGCATATGTTCATGAAAATGACATACAAAAAATGCAGTATAGTTGGGGAACAAGATTGCATACAAAAATGTGTATATTAGGAGAAATTCGCATTAAAATCCTGCTGAATTTTCATGAGGACTTTAAAAGAAATAATCTCAAACTGATGGAGAAACATGGAGAACTGAAATTAAGTTTGGAAAAATGAAAAACTGAGAGAAACCATAACTGATTAGCACATCCTACCCGAGTCTCAGCAAAGCTTAACCTTAGAATGTGCCCCAATGATTCTGGGACAGTTTCATTTTTCTTGTCGTTTCGCCTTTAGGATGCCAGCCTCAGCGAAGGCTGAGCACCATTCCTAGCACCAAAAATTATATTTTCCTGCCATCACAGTTATGGCTCTGATGAACAGTTCGTTCAAGGCTGTCCTTTTATTGAACATGGCAGTTTCTTGCATGTGAAAGAGATGCTGTACCTCCAAATCCACATTTGAGTGCATTAAATCAGAGTATTATCCTTTCCTTGGGGCTTTGGTTTAATTGGCTTTTGAAAAGACCCCAAACTTTGTTGCACCTTACCAAAGCTATCCATTTCTGGTGGTGAAAGCCTACCTATCCAGTCTCATACTTTTGCTTTGTCTTCCCCAGCAAACTGCACAACGACCTGCTTCAATGGAGGAACATGTTTTTATCCAGGAAAATGTATTTGTCCTGCAGGACTTGAGGGGGATCAGTGTGAAATCAGTGAGTCCTGATTTTATGCCATTTTCAGCAGACTGAAAAGATTCTTCTTGAGGTTCCTAACTCCCAAAAGATGGTACAGGCAGCCAAAACGAGCTTTAGGTTTCACAACACTGGGCTGCCTGGTGTCTGGTTTGTTGGTTTATGGATGGGTGTTTACTAAGGATACAGAAGTCATGGGGTAAGAGCATATTGATATTGAATGACCTGGGGAAGAGCAAAGCAGCCATGATTCCTTTTCCTGGAGCCCTCACACTCCTGCTAAGCTGTGGTATAAATACAATGTGCAAGCCAGGCCTATATTCTGGGTACAAAGTCTATTGAGTATGGGATGTCAGTATTTGTTGATCACAGTGGTGGTCCCATTTGCACCTCATAGGTAATAACTGCTGTTAAATCTGTAATCAACTCTAATGGTGCTGTGCCGGATTTCACTTAAGGCAATAAAGGCAGTGCTATCATCCTTTTTTTTAAAAATCATTTCTAGGCAAATGCCATCAGCCGTGTAGAAATGGAGGCAAATGTACCGGTAAAAATAAATGCAAGTGTTCCAAAGGCTACCAAGGAGATCTCTGTTCAAAGCGTAAGTGCTCAATCAACTCAACCTTTTCCTAAAAAAGCTTTTGCAGCAGATTCGGGATTTTGTAACCTTCATGCTAAACAGTGGGTATGCGTTAGTGTGCTGCTGTGGAAGATCCTAAAACAAAAGGAAACACTTGGTTTCGATATTAACTGTAGGTGTCTTATTGCAGCTGTATGTGAACCTAGTTGTGGATCGTATGGGATCTGTATTGAACCTAACACGTGCCAATGTCGAGAAGGCTGGCATGGAAGGCACTGCAATAAAAGTAAGTGGCATGGACAAAATATGACTCTTCGCCTCCATAACATATGCAATCTGTGTGGTATGGGTTTATTGACATCCTTTCCCCACCAATCCCATCGCACAGGGTTGCTACTAGGCAATGTGTACTCAGATCCAAGATGATTTAGCAGACTCTGGCTGCGCTTAGACAGCACTTAATCCACCCATTTCCTTACCTGATAATTTCCGCTTTTTATGTGAGCTTGCAGCGGACCTCTCTCTCTCTCTCTCTCTCTCTCTCTCTCTCTCTCTGGCTAACTAACCTCACAGGTTGTGAGGATAAAGTGGGAGAAGATAAAAATATAATAAATACACTACAGTTTAAACGTTAGTCTCCTGAGATCATCTATTAAGAGCTATCATCTATTAGTTGTCTCATTGTCTTTTTGTCTTTTTCCTGTGCCATGCTAAGCAGCCATAGGGAGGTACCCCTCCACCATTCAAAGCCCAATTTTAAGATTACGTCTTCCTTTACTTTACCAGAATCCACTCAGGGAATCAGCTGGTGTTGCTGTCACCATATAGATCAGGAATATCCTGCATGGTACCCTCCAGACATTGTTGGACTCCGACGCCCATCAGCCCCTGCCAAAGCTCAGGGGTAATGGGAGTTAATCCCAATAACAAAGATGGCTACCACAGTTATAGGGAGTCATAGGAGCCAACTGAAGGGGCTGGGGCCTCCCAAAGTTGATGGACTTTGCCATTCAAATGGGTGGGGGTGACACACAATAATAATATAATAATATTAATTTATTATATATACCCCGCCTATCTGGCTGGGCTTCCCCAGCCACTCTGGGCATCTTCCAACAAAGTATCAAAATGCAGTAATGCATCAAACATTAAAAGCTTCCCTAAAGAGGGCTGCCTTCAGATGTCTTCTAAAAATCTGGTAGTTGTTGTTCTCTTTGACATCTGGTGGGAGGGCATTCCACAGGGCAGGTGCCACTACCGAGGAGGCCCTCTGCCTGGTTCCCTGTAGCTTGGCTTCTCGCAGTGAGGGAACCGCCAGAAGGCCCTTGGCGCTGGACCTCAGTGTCCGGGCAGAATGATGGGGGTGAAGATGCTCCTTCAGGTATACTGGACCGAGGCCGTTTAGGGCTTTAAAGGTCAGTACCAACACTTTGAATTGTGCTCGGAAATGTACTGGGAGCCAGTGTAGGTCTTTCAAGACCGGTGTTATGTGGTCTCGGCGGCCGCTCCCAGTCGCCAGTCAAGCTGCCACATTCTGGATTAGTTGTAGTTTCCGGGTCATCTTCAAAGGTGCATTTGTGTATTGGCAATAAGTATCATGAAACTGAAATATGGAATAGATGGGAAGTTGGGCCTTTAGTGTTACGACCAGTATATGTTATATTGTTTGCTAAGAAAATTATGTGTCTATAGTTATTCCTGTGTGTAATTTGGCATTTGTGTTTGTTTCTTTTTTCTTGTTGTATCAATAAAAAATCTTTAAACAAAAAAAACACAAAGGTGCATTTGAGCGCATTGCAGTGATACTCAATCATGTGATTGATTATGCAGGGAGGGGCTGACCTGGGGTCCCCCAATATTTTATTCTAATTGGCACCCCTGTAGAATATTGTATTGGCCCAAATACAAGCCGCACAAGAATATAAGCCGCACCTTTAAAATTGGAGGGGGGGGGGAGAGAAAAAAGAAAAATAGCCAAATGTCAGCCACTCCATTCCTCTCTGCTCCTGGCTGCATATTGAGGGGGGGGGGAGCTGCGCTGTGTTGCCGATGGCCTTTTCCCTTCTTCACTCTCTCCCTTCCCAGCCTTGGGGGAGAGGACGGGGGCCTACGCACGGGGCAGGCGCTGCTTTGCCGCACTCCTGGCGCTGTTTGCCCCGCGCTCCTGGCTGCATACCGTAAGGTCGTGAACATAAGTTGCACTTTAACTTTTCACGGTCAGAATTTGGGGGGAAAGCGAGGCTTATATTCAGGCCAATGCGGTAATCAAGCAAATTGCCTCTTGATTACTTGTCTGTAGATTTGTGACCAAGTACTGCAGGGTACAGGGACGCGAGTGGCACTGTGGGTTAAACCACTGAGCCTCTTGGGCTTGCCAATCAGAAGGTCGGCGGTTTGAATCCCCGTGACGGGGTGAGCTCCCGTTGCTCGGTCCCTGCTCCTGCCAACCTAGCAGTTCGAAAGCACGTCAAAGTGCAAGTAGATAAATAGGTACCGCTCCAGCGGGAAGGTCAACGGCGTTTCCGTGTGCTGCTCTGGTTCACCAGAAGCAGCTTAGTCCTTCTGGCCACATGACCCGGAAGCTGTACGCCGGCTCCCTCGGACAGTAAAGCGAGATGAGCACCACAACCCCAGAGTCGGCCACAACTGGACCTAATGGTCAGGGATCCCTTTACCTTTACCTTACTGCAGGGTACACATGTCAACGCAAATCCATAAATATAACAAGAAAAATCGCCTTTCGGAAATAAATGTTTGTCTCATGGTAGTACTGTGTGAAGTCCGGCGCAAAGTCCATATTGAAATTTCCATGTGAAACATTCACAGTGAAGGGGGGGGCTGCATTTGTAGTTTCCTCACTCTTGAACTGGGTCGTTTTTCAGGGTACGGAGCCAACCTGACAAATGGCCTGAGGCCAACAGGCACCAAGCACAGGCAATACACGCCTTCACCGAAAAGGGCCGAAGAGAAGCAAGCGCCCCCTGAATCCAATTATATCTGGTGAACTCCAACATCTGAAACGTTTTATGTTACACAAAGTTCATAGCCTTCATTAACCTTTCATGTGTTGAATGTTAAAACGCTGTTCATTACATTTTAAGATTACTGGCCTGAATTTTACTAGCTTCGTTATAAACCACTGAGCTGATATTTACTATTCCTTTTAAGTTTTACTTCTCTAGCACAGTTATATAGGCTTCTTGTTTTCAGTGCTTTTTGGACCGGTTTCTTTTTTGTACTATATTTCAATTCTTTATTGACTTGGAGTTTTCCCCCCCCTTTCCTTGTAAGAAATTCCTCAGAACAAATTGATTATCCAAAATTGGGGAGAGATTTTGAAAATGCTGGCCTGGAACCCACAGTTTTTCCTGGATTTGTGTCTACATACCTTAAAAAAACAAATTTTAATTTTTTATTTTGGCACGATGCAGTCTTACATGTTCCGTTTAATAAAGGCAAAAGCTTTTTTTAATTTAAAGCCAATTCCCATTTCTGCAGCATGCTCTATTGAATACGGTGTAGTTGTGGCATTGAAACAATATAATATATTGGAAACAAAGTGGAACTATGAAGTATGAGCGCAGTCTTTGCATCGGCTTATAGCAATATAATATATTGTGTACACAAAACAGCTCTTATGTAATAAACATTTTTATACTGATTGTTATGTATGAAATAAAGATGCTGCTTTAGTTTTGTGTGCGTTGAGATGCTTGAGATGTTATCTGAAGGAGATGCACTGATCTTATAACTGTCGGAGGATGCTGTAGCTCAGGAACTTCTGCATCAAGAAAAGAGTTGGGTGGGACGGCTTACAAGGCCCTACTCACTCTGTGGTTCTAAGATACTAGGCCTCACAGTGCTCAGATTGTGGCATGGTGCAAGGGGAAAGCTTGCCCCACCACAAGGATCCAACACCACCTCTTATGCTGGGACAATGATGATGATGATTTTGTTATTTATTCCCCGCCCATCTGGCTGGGTTTCCCCAGCCACTCTGGGCAGCTTACAGCACATAAAAAATTGTAAAGTGTGTGTGTGTGTGTGTGTGTGTGTGTGTGTGTACACAGGGCTCATCCACACTTCCACATGTGCTGTGCCTAGAAAGCACAAGTCCTAGCAGTTACCCGCTTGACCCATGCTTTCTAAGCATGGGTCCTGTTAAGTTGTGGGTGAACATATCAGTCGACACAGCGATTCTTCAGACAGCTCTTGTTTATTCACAGGCCAGAACAGAACTGAACTGAAGGGTTCAGCCAGCCTGCTTATATAGAGCTCCACTACAACGCAACAGTAACAACTTTCTGTAACTATCCAATCACTGAACGTCACTTTCAATTCCTTATTTGCATATGTGGACCTGAGTGAAAACTATCTACAGTATCCCCCTGCTGGCCCAGGGTGAGAACTTCAGTACATAACAGGTCCAATGAGTTTTCCCCTTGCCCCACTCCCTTCCAAGGGAAACCTACTCTTTAGTGATATATCAGAACAAATGGCAATCCGGGGGAAACCCAGATTCCTGTTAGCTCCGATTGAGCACTAAAGAGCAGGTTTTTCCCCCGGGATGGTCAGTGCCGAACCTCAAGAGACCCACAGCCCTGCACCATGGATGGGTCACCCACCCAACCAAGGCAGATCCCATGCCTGCCATCACACATATCCCCTCTGCCTGGCTGCTCTGCTCCCAACACCCCCTCCAACCAAACCAGTGCAGGACATCTGTCCTGCTCACCACTGTCTGCAGGGGCAGCAACACTACCACTTCCCTTCTCTCCAGGCTGCAACTCATCACCCTCTTTGTCATGCCCCAGAGCCATTTGAGCTGTGTGCAGGCAGAACTCCTGCTTTTTGAATGGAAGCCATGTTCAGGTGCCACTCATGATGGTCGCCCACCATGTTTAATTGCCCAATATGACTTGCCCTGACTTATAGATTAAAAAAACACCCTATAGATTTATAGAAGAAGAAGAAGAAGAAGAAGAAGAAGAAGAAGAAGAATAGTAGTAGTAGTAGTAGTAGTAGTAGTTTGGATTTGATATCCCGCCTTTCACTCCCCTTCAGGAGTCTCAAAGCGGCTAACATTCTCCTTTCCCTTCCTCCCCCACAACTAACACTCTGTGAGGTGAGTGGGGCTGAGGGACCTCAAAGAAGTGTGACTAGCCCAAGGTCACCCAGCAGCTGCATGTGGAGGAGTGGAGACACGAACCCAGTTGCCCAGGTTACGAGACTACCGCTCTTAACCACTACACCACACTGGCTCTCAATAACACCATAGACCTATGAAATGTCTAGATAGTTCTGTGGATTTTATAGATCTGATTAGTCCAGGTAGGAGCAGGGCTACAAATTTTTGTAGAGTCGCCAAGACATTTTATTAACGTGGAAGATGTGCCAACCCATTCCTCACTAGCATACAAAAGGTGGTCCAGTTAGCCTTGGTTGCCTCACATTGGTGCAAGAGTGTGCCAGGAAATTCCAGTTATGAACCATTGCTCTCTGTGTGAAGAGCAGAATTGGTGGGCATGTTTGCAGCAGTTGTCAAAGTAGCATCACAGCATCAAAATGACTATTTCTATAAAGTTCTAGTTTTAAAAAAGAAAAGGGAAAAAAGAGTCAGGGAAACCTCAGATATCTAATATATTAGAAATTTCCATATTTAATATACCTATGATTCACACCAGCAAGCATCCAGCAGTATCTTGCTGCTGCTGCTTTTTAAAAATTGATTATGATGTGTTTTTCTTCAAGGTAGGAGGTTATTTTACTATATGTTACCTGGAGAGCAGGATCTTGCCTTCAATTGCAGCTATAAAAAATTTAAATAAGTAGATAAATCTAACAATTAGAGTAATATTAAAATTATTCCAAAAGTTCTGTTTATTGACCTATTTGGTTTAGCTGCTTGGAAAGTAAGTGGCAGCAAATATCAACAGAGAAGCACCTCACCCTCACCCCTTTAACTGAACACATGGAACTTGTCCAACTTTTTTTGGCTATGCAACTATGCGGTGCAACAGACAGAGCAAATCTGGAAGCAAATTTGTTTATTTGGATGGAGAAAGATCATGAAGGTCTTTGGATAAGTTTAGACACGTCAGTGTTACTACTGGGTAAATACAAGGGGCTGGATACAAAGCAAGTAAGTCATATGCTCATGAAATTACTGAAATCAATATGCAAAACTAGCCAGAACTAAAAACCCCATTAAGTGCAACTAACTTACAGTGGGTGATCGAACCCGAAAAGAATGATAACAGCCTTTGTATGATTTTTTAGTACAACAGAGCAATTAAAAGGGCCTGTTTCTCCATTGTGCTGCTTTGTCAAAACAACTTGATATAAACAGCTATCTCACTGTACAGTGGTACCTCAGGTTACATACGCTTCAGGTTACATACGCTTCAGGTTACAGACTCTGCTAACCCAGAAATAGTACCTCTGGTTAAGAACTTTGCTTCAGGATGAGAACAGAAATCGTGCTCCGGCGGCGCAGCGGCAGCAGGAGGCCCCATTAGCTAAAGCGGTGTGCTTCAGGTTAAGAACAGTTTCAGGTTAAGAACGGACCTCCGAAACGAATTAAGTTCTTAACCCGAGGTACCACTGTGTTTCCTGATGGGCATCATCCAATGATTGTAATAGGCTGGCTACATATAAAAGAGAGTGTGGCTTAAAACTAAAACAAAAAAACATTCTCACGTACATTCTCAAAAATGTCTTTTCTTGTACATTATGGTACCATAGTGCCAATTTGCCCAGAGACATTTTAGGAACAAAAAAAATAAGATTCTCATGCAAAATTAAATTACATTTGTTTGCAAAGTGCTACTGCACCTACCATATGTGGGGAGGATATTTTTGTATTTAGATTTGCAATAAACGAGGAGAACTCTCCATACACTTCCATACCATGGAAAAGGATATGATCACACAGCACAATGGGACACTCATTGAAATGAAAACAAAACAAAACCAGCATATTTCATATTTGCCATAAGGTCCCTATTCTGAATGAAATAAAAATTTTGGTGAGACAGTGATGGACACGGGAGCTCTGAGGTGAGTTTGTGTGGCAGGGAAGGTTGGCAGTCCAGGTCTCCCTCCCCAATCCAGCACTTCCAGTCAGTGCCAGTTTAAGGGCGGTGTGGCCAGTTCCTCCTCACAGGGTGCCAAACCAAGGGGATGCAAAATAATAGGTTGGAGGTTTTTTAACCCTTTTTTTAGCTACTGAAAGTTAGGCCCCAGTCAGATGTAATGTACTTGCGAGCAAGCACAGAATCAGGGCCGGATTTAGGTTTGATGAGGCCCTAAGCTACTGAAGGTAATGGGGCCCTTTATATGTCCAGCAGTCCTTTCTCAACAACAAATTGTCACTTTTTGGTGTGTTGAATATATGCCACATGGTAATTTGTGGACCTAACAGGTATCTAAAGCTATTTGAACCTGTTGCCATGCAACCAGTCCATGCAGAATGTAGGCACCCTATATAAAGAAATGAGCAAACTAGTGATATTTTAGGGAGCAGGCTAGCAGGCAGGGCCCATTACTCATAGGAGCCTACACAACTGTTGCTGTATGTAGGTTTGTGGTTTTTTTATCTTATATTTTGGAAATGTACATCCAGTTTCTTTCTCCTTTAATTTTTTTTGGGGGGTCCACCCTAAGCTATAGCTTGTTTAGCTTATACATAAATTTGGCACTGCACAGAACAGAAGGCAAGGCATGGGAGGGAGGCATGAGACTAAGAAATATTTGGGGGCAGGGCAAATTTTGTCCTCACTCCGGATGCCATATTATCAAAGTCTACCCCTGCTGCAGCTAGTTCAATAAAACTTTCAAAACAAAACAAAAGTACCGGTACTTGAGGAGAGAGCAGAGTAAGGCTGTTGAGGAGCCTGGTATGGGAAGCCTCCCCAGAACTAGGCTGAGCAACCTGGAGGGCTGCATTTGAGCTACGGGGTAGAGGTTCCCTAATCCTGTCATAAGTGATAACCGCCACTTGTTCTGGGTTCTTGGGGGACTCCTTTCCCCCTCACAGAGCTGCATTTCCCAGAGTTCCCAGGGAAAGGGGAATCGATTGGTAAACCGCTCTGAGAATTGTAATTCTGCGAAGTGAATAGGGGTTTCCACCAACTCTCAGCAGCCTTAACAAACTACAGTTCCCAGGATTATTTGGGGGAAACCATGACGGTTAAGGTGCTTTTAAAATGTGTGGTGAAGATGTGGCCAAAGACTTTGCATAAGAACATTCAAATAGCATCCTGTAAAACAGGTCAACATTTTTATTCCTAAATAGCAGTCAGTACTGGAAGAGAGGGCAGTGACTTCTCTAAGACCACTTTGTGAACTCACGGCTTTGGTGAGAGGTTGAGTGGATTTAAATGAAATTGGGACTTGGACTGTGAATACGGATGTAGGCCTGACATCGGCATCATACCTGAACAAAAGTCCTTGTGTCTTGGTAGGACTTATCACTGATGCCTGTTTGGGCTTCCATCAAACTTTTGTTGTTTTGTTTTTCTGCATTGGGTCCCTGGATGATCCACCATTTTTATTTCCCACAATGCCCTGGAATGATGCTATGTGGTGAGAAATGTAAAGGATAGCTCCACTGAAGTGCTTATGACCTCCGCCACTACCACCAGTTAGACTCATTGGGTTGCCAATTGAAACAATTTAGGGCTGAACACAGGACACTTTGCTGAGGAATCCACAAACCTGGGCCTCAATCTGCCTGCATATATTTGAACTGAGCCTCACTGGATGAGCATCACTTTTGCCACAGAATTCACTGCTCTGCATCTGGCATTCTGCATGGTGGTTCTTAACATGGCTACTTAACACTTGGCACTGGTGGAACTGAGGCTTGGCATTCCTTTCCCTTCCCAGAGAGTTGGCTGCCACATTTTATGGAGCAATCTTGGCTACTGTATGAGTGATTTGTGCTCTGGTTTGTTCTGAGTCATGATTATCCAGCAGCTCTTTTTCTGTTTATTTTAATGTCTTGTTCTCTTTTATAACTGATGAGCTGCCAGACTGAGCTTCTAACAGATACCATAAGGCAATTTCCCCCCCCCCCCTCCTTGTTAAGGCTTATGTTTTTGAAGTTATGTGGAAAGCATTTACACCTGTGCAATAAAGGCATCCATGTGTCCTGTTTCTGTATTTTGAGATGGTGGTTCCTGCTCCCAGTTAGCCTTGAGTAAGGCTGAGATTCTATGCACAGGTTTCCAGCCTTACAAGGAAATAAGACCAATTGAACTAATTGGGGAATATTTCCAAGAGTACCTATATAGTATAGCGTCATATGTGGTCCACTGAAACCAATGGAACAAGTTAGTTATAATTAATGGGGGCCAGAGTAGTTCATTATTACAATAGACCCTCTATTTTTCAAATCTTATTAGGTGTATTCAGGCACAGGGATGATTGCCCTGGGCAAACATTTGTTAGGTGTGCAAAATTTCAACACCTGGTGCTGCCTCAATACAGCCGTGGTTTTTTCCACTGGAGCTCAGTTCTAGTACCTCTCAGGTGGGCGCCATTGCCATTCTGAGAGAGCAAGGGAGGTGCACATGGTGAGTTCCATCACTCTTTTTCTAGAAAAATAGCACTGAATACAGCTACGTGCTTCCATTTCTGTACTCCATTGAAAACGGCTTCTCCATGCAAACCAGGAAGTGAGCTCTCCAGACATTGGAATGACTCTTTCCTTATCCCTGCAGCTGTGACATCCTGGGGAATGTGGAGTTGAATGTGTATGCATACTCTTATCAATTTCCTTCCCCTCTGTATGGTCACGGGCACTGGCAACCCACGCTACACCACTGTACCGTACCACTTCCTATTTTGCCTATTTCATTTATAGGCAAGGTAAATACAGTGGCACAGCTCTGCAACATGAGTAGGAGGTGACCTGAGAAAGCAAATAAACAGCAGGTACTTGAGAAGTGCATTCTTGGTACAAAATGTATTATATTCCCCCCCCCCCGAATGAACTTCAGTTAACAATGTGGGACAGGGGCAACACTGGGGATGACACTGTGCGTACGGCACCCCCAAAAGGTGCCAGCATCCAACACTGAATGCACATTATCGCACAGTGTGTACGTACCCTGTGGTTTTCATAGATAGGACTATGTGTTGGTAGTTACAGGAAATGGCACGCAAGTGACAATGGATACCTATACACCAAAAACTAACTATCTGTCATAGAAGAGGGGAGGCGAAAATGCCCCATGGTCCATGGCTGAAAAGCCATGAGGTTTATGACCTCACACTAAAACACATTATTGAGCCCCATGCTTCCACTTCCACTAAGAGAATTAAACCATTAACATAAATTCTGCAGCCAACCACCATCTGTTCTTGACAACACTTCCTCAGAGTACTCTGGAACAAACATCGTTGGTGGACTGCGTCAATGGTTTCCAAACTGCTATACTATGAACTCTCAAATTGTTAGGTTTGTTTGAGGCCGGTGAGTCAGTCCTGTGTTTTTGCCTAAAAGCTTCCTCATTTCTAGGCTTCCTAACGCTGGCAGTTGAGTAATCTCGCCACAAAGCTCCCATGAGCCACTGCTGGGATCTTCGCCACTAGTGGGGAATCATTGCTCAGCTAGGCTTAGAAATCAAACTATTCCAAAAATCTGTGTCCACAGTAGCAGGATTCCAGCAGATTGTGGGGAGGTTTTATGGAACAGCACATATTTAATCTCCTGCATTACAATTTGTAAGTTTACCGAGATCTATCGAATTATATGAAACAAATAACAAACACGGCAGTGGTCTAACACAGATTTTGTGCTATAGTTAATTCTATGTGGGTACTGTTGTAAATGGGTCAATAGGTGGAGTGCATTATGGGGTGATATCTGTTCTAGCAGAGACGTCATGTAACATAAGAGAAGGAGAGGCCATTTGGGCCAGTTCTCCTTCCCCACTGCAGCCTCTTGCGCCCCATCCACGCTACTATGGCAGGCCCCTGGAACAGACGGAGTGCAGGAGGATCAGGGAACTGGCAAAAACCATCTTCCCCTTCTGTTTGATTAGTGGACACCTCTGCTAGTTCAGAAGCCATTGCACAGGTAGCATGGACACACCCACCACACTTGCAGGCAGGCAGTCTGTCTCTCTGTCTCTCTCTCTCTCTCTCTCTCACACACACACACAGAGAGAGAGAGAGAGAGAGAGAGAGAGAGAGAGAGAGACTGTTCCTTTACTTCAGAGACAGCAGGCTTTTGAAATTGCGTTTGTTTGCTTTTTAAAGTACTGTATATGTATTATATATTGCACAATCTATTGTTAACACATAGAGGGATGCGGGTAGTGCTGTGGGTTAAACCACAGAGCCTAGGACTTGCCAATCAGAAGGTCGGCGGTTCGAATCCCCGCAACGGGGTGAGCTCCCGTTGTTTGGTCCCTGCTCCTGCCAACCTAGCAGTTCGAAAGCACGCCAGTTCAAGTAGATAAAGAGGTCCCCTCTGGCGGGAAGGTAAACGGCGTTTTCCGTGCGCTGCTCTGGTTCACCAGAAGCGGCTTAGTCATGCTGGCCACATGACCCGGAAGCTCCCTTGACCAATAAAGCGAGATGAGCACCGCAACCCCAGAGTCGGTCATGACTGGACCTAATGGTCAGGAGTCCCTTTACCTTTACCTTATTGTTAACACAAGTGTGTGGGGGGGGACTTCAGTAAATGACTAGATAGTGGCATGATAGGTGCATGAACAGACTCTATAAAAACATGGGAAAGGCTTTTTTCTGTTTACGGAGGGGAAACTCAGTCCAAGACTTTGCAGCTCATTAAGGGAACACATTCAGTCCTGGAGTCACAAATTCTTTTTGCTCTGTCTTTCTCTGGGTGATGTCTTTCCTTTCCACCAAAACTTGTTGGAGTATCTCTTGAGACCACCCACAGACCAAGAGAGATGAGTTATGCTAAGCCTGCACAGTATCTTGAGGATTTGAGAAACAATACAAAAACAGTTTATTTCTTTGTATTTAGACTGAAACTCCTTTTGATCACTCAGACAGTTCTGTTTTGCTTGAGAAGGACCAATCAATTTTCTCTGGCAGCAAACGAAAAAACAAACATCTAAATCAAAGGGAGACACGCATTAAGCAGAGAAAAGACAAGGACAGAGCACATGGCTTATTAAATATTTGGACAAATGTTCACTCGCTAAGTGGCTAGGAAATATTCTCATTTAACACGAGGAAGAGACTGAAATTTTAGCTCCGAACTCTGCCTACTCATTTCAAGAGGTTTTGGCTTTTTAAAAAGGAATCTTCAAAAACAGAAAAGCAAATGGGAGGCACACTATCCTAATGGAAACTTTAATCAGAGCTCATCGTGCCATTTGTTTTTGATTGCCCTTGCTTTTGTAACAAAACATTATTTGTTCCTTATGCGGCCCCTCTGGGGTTCTTTTTAATTAGCAAAAGCAGAGGTAAATAATTAAAGTCAAAGACGTGGATGTAACTAAAAAGAGATGCTGCCAGCATCTTGTTGCCGAATTCTAGGCAACAGCAAAAGGCCATATGGAAACGAATCTGGGCATGAGGTAAGGAGAAATATCCTTAATTCGCCGTCAACTCATGATTCTTCTCACTAAATGTAATGTACTATTTGAATCACCTGAGCTATCATCTAGGCCAGGGTTTACCAAACTGTTTTTTGGACTACAATTCCCATCATCCCTGACCACTGGTCCTGCTAGCTAGGGATGATGGGAGTTGTAGTCCAACAACAGCTGGAGACCCAAGTTTGGGAAACCCTGACTAGGCCTTACATTCTAGGGTGTGCAGTAACTCAATGTCAAGTGTGTAAATGCTGTATAAAAGGAGGGCTTGTACCTGCCAGGAAGAACGATGCTGTCAGTGAGCATGTCAGGAAAAAGCGTTCAAGACGAGTGTGGAATGAAATGTCACTGAGCGAACTCAGTAGATGGTACCCCTAAGTAGCCTGGGGCCCTCCAGACACTGCTTGACTACAACTCCCATCATCCCTCATGATTGGCCAAGCTGGCTGGGACTGGTGGGAGTCCAAATATATTTGGAGGGTCCTAGGGTGGATGTATCCCTAGCCGGAATTAAGATCGCCGGAAGATATATCAACAACCTCAGATATGCAGATGACACAACTTTGATAGCAGAAAGTGAGGAGGAATTAAAGAACCTTTTAATGAGGGTGAAAGAGGAGAACTGGTCCCATCACCTCCTGCCAAATAGAAGGGGAAGAAATGGAGGCAGTGAGAGATTTTAATTTCTTGGGCTCCATGATCACTGCAGATGGTGACAGCAGTCACGAAATTAAAAGACGCCTGCTTCTTGGGAGAAAAGCAATGACAAACCTAGACAGCATCTTTAAAAGTAGAGACATCATCTTGCCAACAAAGGTCTGTATAGTAAAAGCTATGGTTTCCCCAGTAGTGATGTATGGAAGTGAAAGCTGGACCATAAAGAAGGCTGATCGCTGAAGAATTGATGTTTTGAATTATGGTGCTGGAGGAGACTCTTGAGAGTCCCATGGACTGCAAGAAGATCAAACCTCTCCATTCTTAAGGAAATCAGCCCTGAGTGCTCACTGGAAGAACAGATCCTGAAGCTGAGGCTCCAATACTTTGGCCACCTCATGAGAAGAGAAGACTCCCTGGAAAAGACCCTGATGTTGGGAAAGATTGAGGGCACAAGGAGAAGGGGACGACAAAGGACGAGATGTTTGGATAGTGTTTACGAAGCTACCAGCATGAGTTTGGCCAAACTGCGGGAGGGAGTGGAAGACAGAAGTGCCTGGCGTGCTCTGGTCCATGGGGTCACGAAGAGTCGGACTCGACTAAACGACTAAACAACAACAACAAGGGCTGAACCATTTGAAGACAATTGGAAGAAGTAGGAAAGTAATAGAGAGCACAGGAGGAAAAAGCAGAGAGAAGACCACAAATGGACCCACACTCCCCCAAAACTGAAGTGAGGGATGCCAACAGAAAAACATGGACTTCGTTAGAGAAACAGTCTTGGAAAAGGTATTGCTGGATATATTTATATCTGCTTAATTTTTTGTTTGCTTTTGTGGGTATTTGCTGAAGACGCCGCAGGGCAATATGCACAACATGCCAGAGACATCAGGAAAGAAGCGCTGTCTGTAGGTGTTTATATGCTAATGGCAGAAACCTCAGAGCCAGGAAGTGCTTGGTTTCAAAGTAAAGCATGGATATAGCAAGCGTAATGGAAACCGGTTGGAATGGAGAGGACCAGTGGGGCAGAGTTTTCTCTGGATACATACTATAGGAAGACAGAGAAGGACTTGCTGGAGCTGATGTCACTCTGCGCAACAAAGAGCACAAAGCTCTGGGAGCCACACAAGCCTGTCCTACACCTCCTAAGGTAGCCTGCTGCCCACAGGTGTGCTGGAGGATGCTGTCCCGCTGCCAGTGCTGAAGTCAGATTCAGCTGCCAGTCTCTTCGGCTTCTGTATTTGGAATGTGAGGAGGCGCTATCCTGGCCTCCGCCTATTGATCTGGGCTTGAGTGTTGGATGCAGAATGAGCACAAACACCAGTTCTTTGCTTTCAGTTAAGACTAGGGTGGGGTAAAAGGATGGGCAGACCTGTCAGTTTCCATCTTTCTGTGTTTCTAATTATCCCAAGCTAAAGTTTAGCTGTCCATATTTCCACATCAGTTTGCTATCTTTTAGAAAAATCGTAGCGAAAGTTCAACTGTTTTGAGCGCAAATTTGTCCCGATATTCACATGTCTGTGTGCAAAGCGTTTTTATTTATTTTTTTGCAAAGCAATCGCCCCTAAAATAATGCATCTTTATATGTTGTTTCATAGGGCACAGAGAACTCGGGAAGCTGTTTTCTATCAAGTCATACAATTCTGACTTTAGCTTAGTAATGTCTACACGGACTGGCAGCAGCCCTCCAGGGTTTCAGGCAAGGGGCATCTCCTAGCCCTATGTGGAGATGCTGGCGATTGCGACTGCATGCCAAGCCGATGAGATGCCCTACCACCGGCTACAGCATTTCCACCAATATATGCATTTTAGGGGCATTTTAACCCCATATATGCACGTTGTACACATTATTTGGTAGGAGAACTGCACACTTCAATGGATACCTGAGTTTTGGTTCAGAAATCATAAGCTAAATAGGTCTTTAAATGCAAACTGAATCACATTTCTCTCCCGTCCCTAGGTGGGGAGGAAGCAGGTCTAAGAATAACAGGCAGACCTTTCTTTTTTTGGTCCTGTGTGCTATGTGTGGCGTGAAGAGCATAATGTGATCCTTCTTATGTCTTCTGCCAAACTGGGTTTTCCACTGTTCTCCTAAGTCTGCGCTTGGAAAAATATTAGCTTTTTTTTCTTCATTGGCAGCTTGCTCCAGGGGATCTCTTTTATCTGACTGACAGCTGAAAGGCATTAAGCTGTATAGTAAATCACTTAACTAGACCCTGGAAAGTGTGATGGCTAAACCACAAACAAAAACAGAGAGTATTGCAATATATTCACTACGCCGTGCCATTTTTTTGACATTATTGGACCAGTGCAACCACATGTAATAAGTACAACCTATTCAGTTTTCAACAAGGTCTTAAACTGGATATTTTCTAACTCTGATGGTGCTGAGAAGTTTATCTGAGATTTGTCATCTTTCCTCTTTCTCCAATTCTCGCTGTTCCTTTTTTTTGGGGGGGCCAATAAGCATTCATGCTGATTTGCTTGCACATAGCTTACACAGAGGTTAGATTATGATTAGGAATTCAAGTGTGGGGTTTATTGCGTTAGTTTTCCTGGTTATAATGCTAGCACATCTGTTCTGATTTCTAACGTTCCTTTCACGCAGCAGTGCCTGTTGCATGATGGAACTGTATCTATTCGATCCCTACCATGGCATGCTAAATTTTCAGTGGCAGGAAAGAGCCATGTGCCACCCCAAATGTCCTCACATGAGTGGCAGTGATGTGTTCGTGTACACCTTGGGGAAATTTCAATTCAAAGTTCCTGGGATTGAGATAACAGAGCTGCCAATGATGATTTTTTTCCTGGAAACAATCAAGATAGCAATAAGCATTAAGTTTCAGCTAGATTCCACTAGATTTCCAGAAGCAGCTTTTGCACTGTATGAAAGATCACATAAAATATGAAGTTTTAAAGTTATACGCCTCCTTCCAGCAACTTCTGTAGCCAAGCTGGTGCCCAACGCATGTGCTTTTCTTTGGACCA